AGGACTAGAGACTAGAGACTAGAGACTAGAGACTAGAGACTAGTATGATAAATGCTTCTGTCGGCACTGTTCCTACAAAGAAATCATATCACTTGAACCGGTCTCAGGAAGAGTCCGGTCTACGAGAAGAAGGGGGTAATTTAGGTCATCATTCTACAAAACTGCACATAATCTACGGAAAAGGGACCGTTCCTACAAAGGAATCATATCACTAAACCGTTCTACAGGGAGAGTCCGGTCTACAAAAAGAAGAGGGTGAGTTAGGTCGTTACTTCGTAAAACTGCACATAATCTACGAAAGGGACCGTTCCTACAAAGGAATCATATCACTAAACCGTTCTACAGGGAGAGTCCGGTCTACAAAAAGAAGAGGGTAATTTAGGTCATCATTCTACAAAACTGCACATAATCTACGGAAAAGGGACCGTTCCTACCAAAGGATCATATCACTAAACCGTTCTACAGGGAGAGTCCGGTCTACAAGGAAAAGGGGGTAATTTAGGTCGTCATTCTACAAAAACTGCGCATCGTCTACAGGAAAAGAACCGTTACTACACAGAAATCATATCACTGAACCGTTCTACCGGAAGAGTCCGGTCTACGAGAACAGAAGGGGTCGGTAATTTCGGTCATCACTCTACCACAATTGCACATTATCTACAGAGCAGGAACCGTTCCTACAAAGTAATCATATCACTAAACCATTCTACGATAAGAACATGGCCTACAAAGAAAAGGGGGTGATTTAGGTCATCCTTCGGTAAAACTACACATAATTTACGCCATGAGGGAGTGTTCTTACATAGGAACCACAACACTACACTGTTCTACACCAAGTGCGTGGTACATAAAGAAATGCACATAATCTCGCCATCCTTTCAGAGGAAGATAAGCCACTAAATATCTGGAATTCTCCAGATCGTTCGCCTTCGACGTAAGACTACTACCCTGCAAACAAATCCAGACTCATTCTGTGCGTTCCTCGTCTGATAACCACCATTCCACATACCTCTGGATCATCCTACAAAGCAATTGTACGGCTACACCCTTCTACATCGTATTCCGATCAATTGTCCACGTTTGACTTACACTCGCTACCAAAGTTTCTACAAATCTGCGTCTCATCTACCAGCTTAACAATTTCATCTGCTTCTTTATATTCAAACCTCCTTCTTCCCGTACTCATACTTACCATCCACTTTCTCACATCCTCACGAACAATATTATTCCTCATACATCCTCATACATTGAACAAACCCCCAAAACCACTCCTCCAGTTCACAACATATACATTCCTTCGATGATTATCATGCTACAAAGTTGTTAGAGGGCTCATATATAAGATCTGAACCTAAATAAAAAAACTGGCATCTCCCTGACAGTAGAAACCACGTCAAAAATGCCGTAAGTCGCTTAGTTTCCGAGTTATGAACGTTTAGGGGTTTTTCTATGCTCCACTGCAGCATAACTTTGTTTTCTGCTAATAACTCGTAATCTATGAGTCGTACACACTTTACGAGCATATCAATGGATTTCTGATAGCAAGATCTTTCCATTGATATGATTAAAATTATTCTCCGAGCATAACTTATGCTATACTCGAACCAAGCTCCCCTTTTCTACAATACTTCGGAATAAATCGCACATTCAAATAGTTTGACTGCCAATCGACTTACTCCTTACTCTACTTTCGGTACTTCCTCTACATCCCTAAATTTGCTTTACATACAAAGTCTTGCTTTCAGTCCGTGCTTCTGTCATAATAAAGGAAACATTTCACTTTCATATAATATCACCTACAAGAATTGTTCCATACTTTGCATAGAGACACGGTATTGCCACGTCGTGACGTAAGAGCAATAGCAAGATGGCAGCGATTTAATCTTGGCGCACGAAACGCTACCGTATCTCGCGGTTCCTCTACTTCAAAATAATAAATAAGGAATGAGCGGAAAAGAAACAAGTGCCAGTTAATTCAGTGGAACAAATGAAAATGAACTGTCACAGAGTGAAGGTGAAATGTGTGGGCACTCATGTGTTGTCTTTTAAATATTGATTCGTGGAGGTGTGGAACGCAATGTCAAGAGAATGGATATAATCTCAAGACAAAGTATTTTATTCATTCATAAAGAAAAGGAGCGAAGCACACGACGTCGAATTACGTAGCAGTTAAATAATATTATAAATTATAAGTATGTATAACATTAAGCGCGAAAAGTTTTCCCTTTCAATACGTCAAACGCGTACTACTTATACTATTACTTGTTCAACAAACATCAGACATCACCGGGAAAATCGACATATTTATGTTTTAACATTACTCAATAATATTTTTTAATACTTTCATTATCGCGTGGTTAAAACTAAATTCTACTATTTTCAAACATTTTTATCTTGCTTCATTACGTCTTAATGAAATACTTAATGGCGACTCAATTCCGGTAAGTGGAGGGCATGGGCGTGCATGTGTCGTTCAAGATAATGGCAGAAATAGTCGTGTCTAGAATTTACTTTCTCAACACTGCTTAACACAACTTTTCGACCGGCTACTTTTCCGTTACATTTATTTCTCTTAAAACTTTTCAATCATATATATCACTCATTACATCAACATTTATCAAAATATACATCATCTTACGATACCATTCAAATCCGTATTATCAATTATTTATTCTTCAATTCACCTAATAAATATTTATTTACATTTATTTCATATCTCTACTTATCATATTCTTCATTAACCTTACAACTTTTATATTAATTACAATTAATTTTTTTCAGACTTTTTAGTGAATAAAACACATATAAGACTGCACCCTTCTTTATAATAATTATGATGGACTATGCTTTTGCTAATGCAAATACATATTTAATCAGGGAACGTATAATGGCATCTATTATCTATAATTGTTACTCGCCAGTAAGTTACATATCATAACTCATGTCATCAATGATATAACAAACCGATTTAATACATATAAAGTAATTATATTTTTCTCTTTTACATGAGCTAACAATGGAGAATATCAATAATGTGTCTATAATTCATTAAAAGACAGCAATAATACTCGTAAAATGGATTCTCCACCGTCATGTTCACTCAGTGCCACGGGACCTTTAAGTGATTTTGGCAGCAGTGGACTCGGCGGATCTATATCGAGTGATTCTGTTAGAGCTCAACTTGCAATTGAAGTATAATATACTTATTTATTCCTCTTTTTATTTATATCTTTATACAATTTTCTTTTCATATTGATTATTATTATTATTATTATTATTACTATTATGATTATACATATATATATATATATATATATATATGTATCTATATCTATATTCTCTTTAGATGCAAGAAAGTGACATGGAGAGTAAATCCTTGTCTCAAGATTCTTTTGATTATTCTGATGGTATGTGTGGTCAAAATTTTAATACATTAAAAAAAGGACCCGGCTGGGCAGATCTAGATGGCAAATTGGAAGAAGTAGAAGTAGTTGACGTTGCAATAAAGCCACCACCAGAATTTCAAGATAGTCCATCGCCTCCGGATTCGGTATCATCTAATGCTCCAATATCATGCTATCCGCGATTATCTCACAAAAAAATTTCTCATTGGATTGATCATTACGCTGAAGGATTGATACAACATATTATAGAAGAAGCTCTAGCTATCTCGTGTCGTATATCATGGCCTGAAGGTCGAATAGCTCAAGTAACAACTCGAACTGCACCAACACCAACAATAACACATATTTATAATTCAAAACAACGCTTTTGGGCTAGTGAAATGTTACCATCATCTTCATCACGTCAAGCAAGTAGAGATACTATTAGCATAACTCCTTACAATACACTCAATCGTCCAAATTCCCGATGTTCATTGGCTTCCTCTCGACTTTCGAGTTCTCACAATTCAATAAATACTACGGGATTAGGTAATAAAGCTGATGATAGTAGTTTTATAACATCAGCAATGTCTCATGATGTATTAACCACTAGTGAAATCAGTGATATGTACAATGTACCTTTTGATTCCGACATTTACACCGTCCCAATTGACGTGGTAAGACCTCTTCATGAACTACGAACGCCTCAACGTCCTAAACGTCATCGTCATCATCGCAAACGACGAAGAAATGTTTCAGCTAGTTCACAAAGTGAACTTGAAGCTCATATTCAACAAGCAAGACATTACTGTGGTAAACCACGTGCTATAACCCATGTTATTAAATCTCAACGATTATTAGCTGAAGTGTGTTGCAATGAAAGTGGTAATGGCAAACGTCACAGTGTACCTGGCACATCCGGGCGTCATGGACCTCGTGTTTCAAACAATAGTCACGTTCATAATATTGGCGAACCAATTCATATGACACTACATGAAGTACGTCAGTATTTAGAGACGCTTTACTCAAGCTCTAGTGATTCAAGTGAAAATAAAATTAGACGTGATAAAATAACAAGTCAAACCCCTATTCATCTTGGTGTACCAAAGGGTCTTAGTGTAAATAATAATAATAGATATAGTAATCCACATACAGACTCTTCAACTGACACACCTATTTCTAATAAAACCTCTACTAATGGACTAATTAACAATAATAATAATAATAATAATAAATAATAATAATAATAACAATAATAACAATAATAATCATAATAATAATAACAATAATGCTAATGCAAGAAAACATAAAAAGAGCTCATTAGTTAATGTTAAACATAAAAAAACTAAAGATGAAACGCATAAAGATAAAGCCGATACTGATAGAGAAAAAATTAAAAAAAGTCAACGCAATTTTTCATTAAATCTTAAACAAACGTTGTGTAATATATTTCGTTTTAAACGGCTTGGATCACCCGATCACTTTGTCGAAAAGAGAAATAGTATAGTTCAAGGTGAAATTGTCGAAGAAGAAGAAAATGATTCTGATCAACATGCTAACAATAATAACAACATGACATCAGATGTCGATTCATCGACACAAAAGTTGCCATTCTTTAAACGTGCTCTGCCACCCTTACCTAAAACCAATGGACAAATTAAAGTTGAACAAGGAGAAGATGCATTAACAGCTATCGAGTCTAAAGTTGATTCACCCACATCAATTCATCATCCTTCCCCTCCACGTGAAGATGAATTACCGCCTGAAGATACTAGTATGGATTTTGCTGCCAGTATTGAAAAAGTTAAAGATGTAAGTTATTTATTTTTTTTATTTTTTAATTTTACAATCAATTTTTGATTTAATAATTATATAGTACGGATGGTACTGGGGTCCAATGTCGGGTGAAGCTGCAGAAAAAATTCTGTCAAATGAACCTGATGGATCGTTTATTGTACGAGATAGCAGTGATGATCATTATATATTTTCTCTATCATTCAGACTCAATAGTTGCGTCCGACATGTAAGAATAGAGCATGACCAAGGTAAAAATAATTTTTCTATCAGTTTTATATACAAATACAATGGATATTATAACTTTTATTATTATTAATATTATTATTGTTATTATTATTATTGTGATTGTTGTTATTTTTTATCTCATTTATAGGTAATTTTAGTTTTGGTAGCTGTACAAAATTTAAATCCCATACAATTGTGGATTTTATTGAGAATGCAGTGGAACACTCGAGAAGTGAAGATATTTGTTTTTTCTTCATCGTCGACCAGTTCTCGGTCCAATGAGAGTGCAATTACTTCATCCAGTTTCAAGATTTAAACAAGTTCAATCACTTCAGCATATTTGTCGCTTCGTTATATTAAAAATGGTGCGAAGGGATTTGATTCCAACACTTCCCCTTCCACGTCGGCTCATTGACTATTTAAGTACACCACATTATTATAGCGAACAATTAGCAGAACAAGATGAACGTGCCGAGTCACCAGTAAGTTCATCGACTGGTGAATTAGAGAAGATTTGTTTTACACCACAAGGCCTATCGTGAAACGTACAAATAGGTAATCTTTTACTCGTCTTGGCATGTACTATATACTTTAATATACGTATAACAAAGCAATCCATATATTTATGAAAAAAAAAAACAATTTTTTCATGATATAGATAATGCTTGAGAAACATGGTATAATGATAAACATTAAGGAAAAAAAAATCATTTCAATAATAATATTACCAAATTAAAGTTGAATATACACAAAGAATATCCTACATTCAAATTTTGATTATAATATTTTTTTTATTTATTTCGGTGTTAATGGATAAATTTTTTTTTTTTCTGTAAAGAAGAAATTGACACACAAAAAAGTGTACCATTTTTGCGTAAATTATAAATACGGACCAATATTTGAATTCACAAGTGAGTTGTTTAGTTACAGAGTGTAAAAAAAAGTCATTGAATTAGACGTGTAGTAGGATATAATTTAAACACAATAATAAAGACCACATTAACTTTTAAGAAAATTTATAACGAAGAAATATGTCGATTATAAAACTATTATACTATTATTATTAATTGTACAGTACAGCGAAGCTCTTTTTCAATCACTTTTTGGAAGTTTCGTAGCTTTTCAGTGCCTATATTTTGCAGTAATAAGTAAATATTAGTGATTAATAGTAATTTAATATTTCATTAACAGTGAACTTAAAAGTTTACTAAATTCCTGCCACAATTTTTCATTATAATCATTTTCTTTTACTTCATTTTATATTGTATAAAATTTTTTGATTATTTTTATTTTTTAAATTTGGAAGTTTGTGATAAAACGGCATTTCAATATGGACTATTTGTGATTAGTATGTAATTTTTTATCAAAATTACCCACTCTTGTGCCATACTAACTATTGTTATTTATTAAAATGCAATAGTGCATGACCTAAATGAAACTTTTTTCATTTAAAAAAATTAAATTTTATCTTTTTATATTCCTTTGTTACTTCCAAAATACAATACTTTCACATTTTATTCTCCTCGTCACCTAATCTTAAACTATACCAAAGTTGTAAATAAATCAATTTACTACACATCGTACTAATATGTAGATTGAAAAAATATTAGAAAATTTCTAATAATTAACGACATTTCATTTTTCGTGTCTTTTAAACTCAATTGTATTTGTTGTACTAACTTTTTCTCTTAAAGTTTTATTTCCAAATATCTTTTGTACTTATGCATTTATTGATATTATATCAAAAATACGTTTCATTATATTATCGAACTTGTATTATTCTCGTTATTATAATTGATAATTAAAAAAAATTAAACATAAACAAACTATGTATATTAAAGTAATACAGATTTCCAAATTAAAGTTCATCATCTCTAGTTGAAACATAAATTTATGGCGAGTATAAATTATTATGTGAAAGCGATCGACCATAATTCAGAAATTGCTACAAAAATCGTTAAATAAACCGAATTAAATACGAACATTCATAATGTTACATCAGTTTTAATTACTATCTCTGTTGTCACCAATTGTTTATCGTTTTTTTTTAAAATAGTAAAGAGAAAAATGTGTGCAAATAATCTATCATATGATCCCTTCCTATTGCAATAAATCACTTAAGATCTGAGAATATCGTGTGTATTTAAAATTTATGAATTTATATCATGACTGTGATGCTTGTATACAAGCCGAGCACATTTAGAAAAATAACATTTATTGTTTAATTTATAAATAATTCTTATTTACCTAAACAATCATTCCATTGATTTATTCATAAGAATATAATTATTATTTATAAAAAGTTGTTTGATTTTCAGTAAATGTAAAAGTACAACATCAACGATAAATTAGTTGAGCGATATTAAAATTAATTACATTAAATATTCAACTATATATCTGTTATTTTTCATTTTATTGTGTTAAAATTTACATAAATGTTTCTATGTATAACGTTGTTATAATAATAGTTATTTGTAGAAATGACATGCTAGTCATAATTAATTAATATATTTAAGATTAGGCCTCGAATCGAGAAAAAAAAAATACTTAATTTAGATATGAACAACCAGCTAAAGTTTCAATTTCCTTTTGTATTTGTAAACATAATTACAATTAAAATTGATTGTTGTCATTTTTATTGTAAAGAATGACCGATAAATGTTATCAATAGATTAATATATAATAGTTTTTTAAACTTATCTATAGACATAGTGTCTTAATTCGGTTGGAGGCCTTGACTTAAATTTATATTTTCAGTATTTTTTGTTACAAAAATTTATGTACCTTTCTTATTACATATCTCATATTATTAATAAATTTTTTGTTGAAACTGAAAATAAAGCATAAGATATTTTTTTTAATTCTCGAAATATTAAGTTGAATATTTTTTATTAGTTACAACACATTGATAGTGTAATTTAAAAAAGAAACAAAAATAAAAATGCAATTATTGTTGTACAATATGCAAAAAAAATTTATCGTAAAATGAGTCACTTTATAACATATGTATTAACTTACCCTAATCTAAATAAATTTAAATCACAAAGTTCGATCGCTACAAAAGTGATTTTGTAAGACTAACAAACATCAATAAAATAAAAATGTTTTTTAAACTAAAGAATAAAATAAAATGTGAATATAATCATTTTAATTAATCAAACAAACTTTCAATTTTTATTTAAAATGAACAGATATTCTTATTTTTTAAATTTTAGATCAAATGCTTTTATTGTTTGATAGTTTACATTGCACTGTAATGTATAAAAAACATCTAAAATGAAATGATTGAGAATTGGAAAAAAATTATAATTAATAACTACTATTTTAAATATTTTGAGAAATTTTTTTAACTTAAAATAACGAACATTTCTATTGAAAAGTTCAATTAGGAAAGTTAACAAATATAGTTTACATTTAAATATAATATGAATAATAAAAACTGCACAAGATAGAATTATGTTTAATTATTTTATAGATAGTGCAAAAAATATTTAATAGTTCAGAATAGAGAACAAAAATTTAACATAAGAATATAGATTATACATAAACTAATTTTATGATACATTCAAAGCAATGTTTACACGAAGTAAACAAGAAAAAATATAAAATACATATGTAGTTTATAATTTTAATTGAAAAAGGAAACAAAATTAATAAATATTAGTTTATTTCATTTTACAAGCATCATTCATTATCAAAATTAATTCATTTTCACTAAATTCTTATCAATACTATATTCATATAAAATATAACTTAACCGTTTTGTTATAGTGAATTTTTTTTAATATAATGTGGATGATTTATAGAAAAATTTCAGTGTTACTCGAAAAATCATACAAAGAATGATGAAATGTAATAAATACTCTTCAATAATCCATCCATGCGATTCGGAGCTTCAAAATAAAGAGATTGACAAAATTCAATAAATAAACAATAAAAGTAGCAAGTACGTAAAAAAAATGCTTTTACAATTGATTAAACTAATGTATGGTGGAGAAAACATTATGTAAATCTAACAAGTACACCGATAGTTGATTAACAACGTTTGTACTGCAATGTTAATAATAAAATACATTTTTCAGACCAAAACTAATTACCTTTATTTCTTTCTTATTTTATTTCTTTATATACATGAAGGAAATAAAATTTTAAATATTTACCGGGAAATTTTAGTTCAATTTCTGATCACTATGTAACCTTTTAAAATATTTATTATATATTTTGGGAAACAATGTCACCATTTGTCTAACAATAAAAATAGAATTTATTTTCAAAGATGAAATAATGGTATTATAGTAACTTTACAATATTTGATGTAAATATTTTTTTTATTTATCCACTTATTGTCATTGATTCATTCATTATTGAATCAAATACAATGATGTATTATTCAATAAAACTTCGTACGTTTTATCAACACTTCAGCTAATTAGTGGGTAAGTTTAACAATCAAATATACAAAAAATTGAGTTCACTTACGTGGCTCTGATACTAAAGTTAATTTTTTCGATGTTTTAGATGTATTTAACAAGTAGCGTTGCAGCAGTGAACATAAAAATTAGTGATTTAAAAATTACTATTGAGTGATGTTATAGCTCTGAGTGTTTTGTAGAATTATTTCAAAGAATTCTTTGAACAAATTTTTTAAAGTTTAAAATATATTTATGATGGAATTATCTAATTTTATAAATCTCAATACAATAGGCAATTTTCTAAGTATTATAACAATAACAGCATGTTTTGTTATAAAAGTTCCGCAGATTTTAAATTTATTTGCTGCTAAATCAGTTACTGGCATATCTCTTTTCAGTCTGATACTGGAATTATTTAGGTAAATTGTAAAAAAAAAATCAGAAAATCTTCCTAAACATTAAATAACAATTATACACATTTTTTATAAATTTTTCCTTTATGTGTTACAGTTATACTGTTACAGCATCTTATAATTACACTAATGGATATGCTGTATTGTCTTACATGGAATATCCAATTATTATAATTCAAGAATATGTACTGATTTTTCTAGTTTTGAATTATTTAAATAAGATCAATAGATCTACAATTTGTATCGTTATACTTTATTTCATTATTACTGTATCTTTTTTAATGCAAATTCTACCGAAAACTATCTTAACAATTTTAGCTGTAAGTAAAAATAAAATAAACATATTTCATTTTTTAATCTAGTAAAATTAATTAATTTATTTGTACTGTTATAGCCAATGTGTACTCCAATTTCTGCATCAAGTAAAATAGTTCAATTATTAGCAATAATTCGGGCTCAAAATTCAGAGTCAGTTTCATTATTAACTTGGTTTATTTCTACATTTACGAATCTGAGTATGTCAATCTGTTATTATTACCAAAAAATTATTTTACCAAACATAAATATTTGTAATTTTTTTTTTGTATTTCAGCTCGAGTATTCACTGTATGGATGGATTCAGCTGATAAACTGTTATTAGGAAATTTTATCATTTCTGTACTATTGAGTTCAAGTGTTATGATTGCAACAATTTATTATAAACCTAAATCAAAGAAAGCTTAAAAAGAAAATACTCAATTTATATTCGTTTATTGAGTTTAAAGTTTATAAGAATTTGTTTAATAATAATTTTATGTACAAAGTAGATATAAACGATGAAATTAATTATTAAATTTATCAAAAACTGTACATAATATTAAAGCAGTTTATTATATCATTGTTATTTATTGAATTCATAATTTTGTTGATGAATTAACTATTCATCAATTTTTCAATAATAAAAATTATAGTATAAAATAAAACTTCCGCCATTTTCAGAGTAATTATTGATTGTTTAGTCATGTCAAAGAATACTGTCTATCTATTATATCTATCTATCTATGGATTTATATGTATATGTATGCCGACTAAAAATTTCTGGCGACACGACAAAACTATAGTATACTTTTGAGCTTTTAAATAAGACAGTATTCATTAATATCGTTCAATGTATACTTGCCTAAATGAATACCAAAATGTAGGACAATTGTTATTGCTTAGTGAATTGTCATGACATGAACAAGTCCAACAAGTGTGAGCAAGTGAATAAATTGAATAAAAACCATGGCTGGATCAGCATTACGACGCCTTATGGCAGAATACAAACGTAACAATAATATTTTATTCTTCCTAATAATACACTTTGCTTTAAAATATTACACAAATATCACTAATAATTTTTTTGCGGTTAATAATAAACATTAAACGTGTTGTTCATTTTTAGAGTTAACCTTGAATCCACCGGAAGGTATTGTAGCTGGACCTGTTAATGAAGAAAACTTTTTCGAATGGGAAGCATTAATTACGTAAATATGTTTTATTAATTTTATTCTGATAGTATAAGAAAAATTAAAATCATGTAATTGATTAAATTTATTTTCAGTGGTCCAGAAGGTACTTGTTTTGAAGGTGGGGTTTTTCCTGCCAAGCTCATATTTCCACCTGATTATCCATTAAGTCCACCGAAAATGCAATTCACCTGTGAAATGTTCCATCCAAATAGTAAAATTGCCTTCATATTTAATTATTATATAATAAAATTAAGAACATTGATGTAATAATTAAATTTATTAACATTTTTTTAGTTTATGCTGATGGAAGGGTTTGTATCAGCATTCTTCATGCTCCTGGTGATGACCCAATGGGCTATGAAAGCAGTGCTGAACGATGGAGTCCAGTTCAAAGTGTTGAAAAAATTTTGTTAAGTGTCGTCAGCATGTTAGCGGAACCGAATGATGAAAGTGGGGCTAATGTTGATGCCGCTAAAATGTGGAGAGAAGATAGAGCAGAATTTCAGAGAATTGCACAGAAACTTGTTCGTAAAACACTTGGCATTCGAACATAAGAACTTTATTCGTGAATATATAAATGATAAATCATATTCTTTATATTTATTTGATTTCAAGATTCTATTTGAATAAATGATATGAGAATCCAAATTAATTTGGCGTAAAAAAATAAGATATATGGAGTTGTTATTTAAATGGATACTCCAGCCTCTTCAAAACAAGAAAAATAAATAATACTAATAATAATAAAATAATAATAATAATAATAATAATAATAATAATAATAAAGATCTATTTAAAAATAAATAATATTTCAAATGTTTTTCTACACTTCAAATTTTTTTTGAAAAGAAAATATTAGATCATTTTAATTTTTTTTCTTTTTTTTACACTTAAAAATTTAAAGACAAATCATTCAATAATAAATTAAAACATCATATTTTTAGAATTTTTTAATAAACTTTTGAAAACAAAAAATAATAAAAACTCACAACGTTTTTATGATATATTCACTCGAATTGCTTCTACAAATTATTGTTTGACGAATAAAATTCATATCTAGGATTATTTCTTCACCTTTCATTTAAACTTTTAAAGGTTAATCAGTGCTTTTTCTTGAAAAATTTTCAATTTAAAGAAATTTTTTATTATATATTTTTAATATATTAATCACTGCATTTCAAAAATCTTATATCTATTTATAGTTTTAACAAAAATATTATAGATTCTAAAATTATATACTACTTAAATTGTTGAATTTAAATGTACGAATTCAGAATCGTGTTCTTGAAAATTTAATTTAAAAAATGTGATATTGAATAAATAAAAAGACAAGTACTACAATTTTTTTGCATTTATATATATGTACATACATACCACAACGTTAATGATTTTTTGTTTAGAGTCATAATGAATCATTATGCCATTTAAATTGCTATAAATGATATAAATATTAAATCGGATTAAGTGTATATAATGTCTGTTACTATTATTTTATTTTATCTATTTCTTTTTCTATATAATGTATGATCAAATTTTCTATACCGAAATGGTTTTAAAAATGAATATATTTGCGTTATTATTTATTTATCTAATCAATCGTATCTAAAATCCTATATTATGTCTACAAATATTATTATTTTTCTTAATGACGGTCACATTGAAAACAGGAGCAAAATTACTTAATAATGAAAATATAAAAAACTTTTCTTATAACTATATGCTTTCAGCGTTGTGCTGTATGATGCTGATTACGTTGATGAGCTTTCTTGCATAAGCATTTTACAATCAACTTTTCACAATTTTCATCAATCATACTTATTTTGGCGAAGCAAATGATTTAAAAGACTGTTTTTTTTTTTCGATGATATAATTAAAAAATCACTGTTAATATGCCTGTTATCCGTTCAATTGTTCCCAATCTTTCCTCAAACCTTAACTTTTAAATTAACTTTAATGATACATTAACCAAAAATGAATTAACGAACACCTCCTTTTGAGTGAGCTATAAGCCATTGAAGTGTTATGTCAATATTATCTTTTTCTTTACAAGAAATGCTATAGCAACATATCTCGCGATCTTGTATGGCTGAGAGATTCCTATAAAAAACAATAATACAAGATTAAAATTGTATTTAATTAATGAAGTATTAATTTCATAATTCATTTATACAATAAACTATGTATTTCATATACTTTTAATAACATAATAGACAATTGACAACAATGAAACAACTCAATAATTCTGTAGAAAATATGAGTTTGTAATTTACAAAAAAAAGTTATTAATCATTTCCGAAATATAAAACATTTATTATCTATCAGTACACTCATAAAATATTTGTTAAATAAATTTTAAAAAATTAAAAAAAAGGATGTGAAAAATTCAATACTTACATTCTATCTATAAGACCATTTTCATCGAGAGCATAAGGAAGATCCCTTTTGTTTCCTAAAACTAATACTGGAATACCAGATAATTGAGGTTTGTCCAGTAAATTATGCAATTCGTTGCGACTAGCTTCTATTTTTTCAGAATCAGCAGCGTCTACCATGTAAACAATGGCATTTACACCTCTACAATATCGCTCCCACATTGATCTGAATCTTGGTTGGCCTCCAATATCCCAAACTTTGATAGTTACATTTCCTTTTGTTATTTTTCTCATATTAAATCCCACAGTAGGTATCATATCTTCACTAAATTGCCCTGACTGAAATCATTACGAAATTTTAGATTTGTTATCTTTAAAATACTTTGTTCCAACAATATTCTTTTGACGATAAAAAATTCATGTAATCTAAAAATAACTTGTTATAATAATATCAAAATAAAATGCATATAAATATAATTGCAATTTATTCATTTCTCAATATAATGCAACTTGAAAAAAAAAATCAGTTTATATTTTTAATTACAATATTGTAATTAATATTAGATTGGGATATAAATGAAGATTAACCAAAAATTTACATCATTATAAATATTGTAGTGTAAAGAAAAAATTGAAAAATTGAATTCCAATTTTTTATGACTCGAATAATAATATAAAATTTATAAAGATTATTTAATTCAATAAATTCAGTTGCTGAACAATAGTAAAATGTAGATACCACTTCAAAAATTGATAAATTGATCATTTACGTTAAATAACTAATATGAAGCATTAGTGATTCTAATAATTAAATAAGGTTAGTTTACTGAAAGTTATAACTTTATAATTTTCGCCTAGTTAAATACTTTATTCCGATAAAACAACCCTTCATATTAGTTATACTATATGCGCCATAAAATAACCAATCTTTGATACTCCATGTACGCTAATTTTTGAAAATTTTTATTAAAACTATGAAACAGTTATAGAAAATTCATTGCATTTTACAAGCTCCAAGAGAATAGTTGCTGTAATTATTGAAAATTATAATTTATTTCAGTGGATGTCGTACCGCTATGACATTAACGAATGTAGTTTTTCCACTATATTGGAGTCCAATCAATGTCAACTCCATTTCTTCCTTCCAAAATAACGACTTGAACCAGTCTAAAATACGACTTATTAACGCCAGCATCCTGGATGACACCAGGTTTTAATCCGGCGAAGATTTAGAACAATTTTCTACTGCACCACACTTGAAGTCTTTGACATGTAACTTTTTTTAATGGAGCGACGTCACTGATGTCTGTACCTACTATATACTGACATATATACTGATACACCCTATACAGCTTACCGTCAACAGAAATTTATCGTGACTTTGAATGTGTAATTCTTTATATATGAAATATTTTGTAATCAGTTTATCGAAAAATGAATCTTCAATCTAACTTTATAAAAATATTTTAATTAAACTATTCCTCCCACATTTTCCGATTAATATTTAGCATTATTATTGTTGAATAATATGACAATATACTTTGTATCTAAATGGAATTCTAAAGCTTGTAAATTCACTGAAAATATCTTCATACAAATGAAAATTGAAAGGAGTTTGTAGAACTTAATCGTCTAGGTGCCGCTATTATCGTCGTTGGCAGTCTAGAAAGTGATAATTTTTTTTGGAATGACAATAGTTTTTTTTGGGTGTGTATTTTTTTTCAAAGTTACTAGTATATACATATAAGTTAAATAATATTCAAAAGCTTATTTTTGACATTTTCATTATCTTATATTATGGTGTGAATTTCGAAACAATTAAATAAATATAAATGGATAAATAAATATGAATAATTTATTATTGAATTTTTTTTATGCTAATTCTATATAATGACTTTAATTATTGAAAAAATATACAAAAATAATCACTACAAATACAATATTAACACTTTTATGAATATTCATTTTTTGCAATAAAGAAATACTTATTATCGTAGAAATGGAAAGTTTGTGATACAATTGAAATATGATTGATCAGCTTTTAAACTTTCTTCTTCTAAACGTTTAAGTCTTTGTTTTGCATCTTGAATTATATCATCAGTGGAACTACTTTCACTAAGAACGCTATTAATTTTTGACATTTGTACTTTTGGTTTTATTATTTCTACTGTTGAAGATTTAACCAATTGTGTTTCTTCTAGTTGTCGAGCAAGGCGAATTGCTCGCAAAGTAAGCTCTTCTATTCGTAATTTTTGTTTCTCAACAAGATTTTGAAGTTCAAGTTTCTCATCATCTTTTCTTATTTCATAATTAACATCTCCCTGTACCTCTGTTTGGGTACATATTTCACGTTTACTTATTTTTATAATCAAATTTTCGTTTTTATTTTTAGTAAAAATTTCTCTTTGTACTTTGGCTGATTCTTCTTGGATTTTTTTCAAGTCAGACTTAAAAAGTTGATAATTATCTTGATCTTTTTCAGGCCTAAAAATGTAATAAATCACTTAGAAAAAAATCAATAAACATTAAAATTATAATGAAAAAAATGTATGTATATAAGTTTCAAATACCTTTTAGTTTTTTGAATAGATGATCTTTCTTCACTCGAATTTAAATTTTTTCTATCCAATTGGCTCAATTCCTTTTTCTTTTTAATGAGTTTTCGCTCTTTAACAATCACTCCCTGCATCATAATCTATAATAGATAAAAAACAGAATTTTCATTTGAAAAAACATAGTTAAAACTTGAATACGTTAATACGGGATGGGACATAAAACTTACTTGTGCATGACTTAGTTTTTCATTTAATACAATCAATTGCTCTTCAATTTTAGAAGCACGTTTATTTAATTCTGCTTCTTTATCTTTCAATCGATTGTTATATAAATCTCTCTGTCTTAATAATTTTTTTTTTGCTGCAATAATTTTACTTTTTTCTAAAATAATATCATGACTAAAAGTATCTGTTTGCGTTCCGTTATTTTGAATACATTTACTACTCAATTCATCTGTTTTCTTGATTCTAAGATATAATGAATGGCACATGAATTTTAAAATTGTTAAAAGTAATGGCACATCATTTTTTTCATACTCTGATAAAATTAATTGACCATCAGAGTCTTTCGGATTGATTCCTAAGGTTTCTAGAGTATGTAATACATAATCAGTCTGTAGTTTATGATGATTGCCATTTATGTTTGCAGTTTCATTTGATTGAGGTACATCATTACGAAAATTTACCAATAATGGCGCTTCACTAGCAAATACAGACAATGTATAAGCATAATTATGATTCCATAAATATTCAGCAATTAATAAATCATAAACATATTGCTTGGCTGATTTGGGAACTGCATTTACTTTACTCAGTGTCATATCTTTTCCCTTTAAAGCATTCACTAAATTCTGCCGCAGTTGCGTACGAATATTTGATATTATTCCTGATCTTTCAAACCTAAAATAATAAAAGGAAAAAACGTATTAATTTCAAAATAATTAAAATAAAAACTTATAAAAAAAATTACTAGTCAGTAATTCTTACCAAGCGTATACTATTGAATTATAATCACTCCTTTCCATTTTTTATAAAATTATCAATATAACGACACTGAATTTACTATAAAATTATCTCTATTAACAATAAATAAATAAACATTATTATTTAATTAAATAATTATTGAATAATCAGATATTTTTAAATTATTTACGAGTACACGGTAAAGGAATGTTTCATTTTTACAAAGACGGTTACATTAAACCCCTGGTGGTTGTGATGGAATACAGCTAAATTGGCGGCATTTTTAAAATATATCGTGTTATTTTAAACCATTTATTTACATCAGCCAAAAAAAAATAGAAAGAAATCTATGAAAAAAAGTGAAGAGTAAAAAGAAGAAAAGACAATAGAAACATAATGAAAAAGAGGATGTTGATGGTGTGCATGTATATATGTAATTTGAACACCTAAATGTATAAAAAAGAAGTAAAAAAATTGAAAGAATATAAAAAATTATCTTACGAGACGGCAGAACATCATTATGAGAAGAATATTGATTTACATTATCATAGTTCTCATTATCTCTACCAGAGCATATATGATTATATATATCCTCTTCTAATGTTGACACATAATTACAGTAATTACATTTCACAAACCCCTGAAAAATAATTGATAATTAGTTGAAATGCATATGGATTCAAATAACTGTGTTACAAAATTTCGTAGTAATATAACAATCAGTATATTTCTTACTTTTGACGACATTTCTTATTATAAAAAAATAAATAATAATATTTTACGATGCAAAAAAAATATAAAATAATTAATTGGAGATACTTTTTTAATACTTAATGTCTTTGAAACAAATAAATACAATGAAGTTTGAATAATCCAGAACATTATATGATCCGATTACTGACAATTAGAAAATTGTTAATTGTTCGTAAATTACTAGAACTACTACAAAAGATTAAAAGTTCTATTAAGAATGTTATTTTAATACACGTAATTGACTCAACATTGAAACATAACGTTCGTCAATTTAAAATAGAAATAAAATATTAATATGGTATGTTAAAATTATATGTATAACAATTAGCACATATTATATTTATAGAAAAATTAATATGGAAATTTAAATAAGATAGTAATATTTTAAATAATTAAATTTGTCGTTCTAGTCATCTCCGTTGAGAAATCCTGAAATTTTAAATGATAATGAATTGGATCAACTTATAAGTAAGATAATAATTTAGATTATTATTTGCAAAACTTTTAATCACAGTATACAATATTTATTTATGAATAAAAAAATGTTTGAAATATTTTTTAGAATTATATCATTTAAAATTGGATAGGAAATATGGATATAATGTTCCATCATTAACGCAACAAACATCACAATCAGGTGAATTCGCTTTATTTTATGATATACTACAACGTATTCCAGTAGAAAATTTGAATGAAATGACAGAATTAGAAAATAAATTACGATCTGATCCATTATATAAAAAAGCACTGGTAACAACTTGATTTATTTGATCAAAATGTTAACTATGACCAGTTATTTAATTCAATAATGTTGCCTCTGTTTATTCTAGATTATTCTGTTTGAAAATAGGATTACGGGAGAAATTAAAATTTCTAAGTGCATCTATAAAATCATGTCTTCAATTATGAAACCTGATCTTACAAAATCTTACTCTGGATTAGGTAAAAAACATCGCAACAACGTCCGAAAGAGAGATTTTAGTGCAACTCAATGCTACAGGTGTTTAGAATGTACGAATTGTCATATTTTTTTCTATAGATGAACAATGTTTTATACATATTTATTGCATTAATTTTTATTTTTAATTACAGCTGCATTAGTAAAAAAGTTCGATGATAGTGAACAAGTTTCGAAAATAAAATCTCTTGTAGGTATCTGGCTTTCTCGTACTCCTCAAGAAAAGACAAGATCAAGATCAAAAAATTACAACAAAAGAAAATACGTGAGAAAAAGTACATTAAATAACCGTCAAGTTGGAAATTCATTGTAATATTAATAATATAAAGTGTATTATAAATCCTTTAAAAAATATTATAATATAATAATTTGATAATAAAAAATTTTCAAATAACTATTTTATTCATATTTTATATTATTATTATTATTATTATTATTATTATTATTATTATTATTATTATTACTAGAGTTATTTAAAGAATTAAAATGTTTATTATTATTGCTAGCTTATTGCGATTTATGAGTTCAATAACTACTAGTTGTCAAGGTAACAATATACAATCACAAAAAAACATAGAGTTTGAGTATCTTACAAACTTTCGTTGTTTATTAATTCACTCTAAATTAAAGAAGATAAGAAATTCTTCGTTGGTTATAAAATTAATTAAATAAATTCTTTTTCATATTTAGAAAATTTTATAATGTCAATGGGGAACAATGATCTCACTGTAAATTCTTTAAACGTACCAGAAAAATTGCCAGTGATTTTAAAACAATTTTGTAAAGCAGCTATCAGAACACAGCCTTACGATCTTCTTAAATGGTCATGTGCATACTTCAATGCTCTTGCTAAAGGTTCTGAGCCTCCAACAAAAATAAGACTTGAATATCCACTTCCTAGAAGATCTTCAAGTTTGACTATAGGATTATTAAAAGTGTTGCTTCGACAATTTGGTGGTAATGTAAATATAACTGTCATTAATTGATCTTTTTAATTAATTCAAAGATTATCATAAATCACTACCATTAGAAGTTATTACAAGACAATGGAATGAGTTATGTCTTGATCAACGAGATTTGAATTTAATTTTAATTATCGGAAGGTTTAGACGAAAATGCTTAGTAAAAAAATTTCTTGCAATAGCTGTAGGTTTATTAGGAGCTAATCTTTTTGATACAATGCTGATGATTTGTGAACTCTTTACCATGGAACCAGATGGTGGATCTGCTATGATTCCATTAAGTTTATTTACTGAAATATATGAGTAAGCTTGCATTAATATTATATATTTATACTGATGTTAAAAAAATAATACAATACATAATAGGTACCTAGCTAAATTACATTGTGATGGTGGAACGAGAGATCAAAATGATGATCCTTTTGCGTTCATAATTGAGGACACTGAAAATTTAAAGTGGCATTCTGTAGACAATTCAAACAAAAATTTTATTAACTCTGGTGGAATATCTAACTCTACAAACTTAGATACTGAAGAAGATGCGAATTTTGATCTAGATTCACTATCAAAAGATGATTCTTTGTCTATCCGACGAAATTTTGTAAAAGAAGAGACAATTGATGCAGTTATAGATGTTGATAAACTACAAAAAAAAGATAATACTAGTGAATCTGCGACAACTATTAGGAATTCTGATAGTTTAACTATTACCAATGGGAACAGATCTAATTTTAAACAAAAATCAATTGAAACAAATCAGAATTTCAACCTTGATCCGAAATGGGTTTCACATTATCCAATCATTCCAGGTAATTAAGTGTATCATACTGATTTAATATACCATTCATATAATATCTATTGTAAAATTTTATTAAATTTTAGGAATTGGTCCACGATTGACAGTTGAAGAAATAACGGCAGTGATTGAATGGGTTACAGAATGTGCTAATGTCCAAGAAGGTATGATTGGTCCTAGGAATTTACGCCATTTCCAGTGTCCACCTTTAGATCGACAGGACATGTCTAAATTTAAATAACAATAGTTTTCTTCAAATCGATTTATTGTAGAGTTTATTGTAGAATTTATAATATATAATACATCAATAGTATATACTGATAAAATGAACAATATACAATAAATACTTGTCAAAATATTTAACATAGTTATAATTTTAATTTAATTATAACTCCAACAAAACTGACTAGAAATTGGTGTATATTTTATACTAATTGATCTAAAGTATTTAAAACCAAGTACGAAAACTTATTATTATTATTACTATTAGTATTTGACTGGATAATTTCTTGACTAGAAAATAGAATGACACAATATAATAGAATTGAATGAATTGAAGATCTATCACAGGTTATATAAATATTAAGCTATGAAATGTACAAAATAAACTAAACAAGAAGTGATGGAAGAGATCTACTACGTAAAAATCGGCGAATTTGATTATAGAATAAATGATATATTGTAATAAACATTAGTAAAGAAATAAGTAATAATAAAATGTTTCTAGCTTTCGCACGACTTGATCGCCATTCGTATAATTCATCTCGATGTGAAAACCTGTTCCTATATTGCGCTGGTAATTCAAAATTACTCCTTAATGGATATAAAGAACGATAAAAATCATTAAGTAATGCACGAATTATTTCATTTTCTGATTTACGTGACGGATCCATATCATCATTAAGACATATAAATTTCTTTGGTTCTCTTCGAATTTCATCTAAGAGCTGAACTATTTGTGATACATTACTAGTTAACATTTCGAAAATTTCATTTTTACCAGCTTTAATAATTTCATGATGGTATCGATTTTTTGTACCGAAATGAGACTGTATTTGTCTAGCAATTGCACTACATTTGATAATTAGTTCTCGTGAAACAACAGGTAAAAGTGAATCTAAATATCGTTCCCCTGAAGGTGGTTCTGGAGTTGATGCAAGTTCAATTCTTCTTGAACAATTGGTTATAGCATTCTCGAAATCTACTACAAGACTATAATCTAATGGTAGAGGATTCATACGTGACAATAAAGTTCTTATTTCTCTATCAGACCATGTTCCTGATTTATCTGTATCGAATCGATCAAAAATATCGCCAATTGATGATTGATATTTCTCACTGACTACATAATAAAAGTAAGAGAATGCAAACTGCATATCCTGAGAGTTTCGAATTCTGTGTGAAGATGTTTTTCTGAATTCTGAATGAAATTTATTTTGCATATCGTCTATAATCCATTTATCAAGGAGATGAGGCATGTGAGCGGGCACACGACGTCTTTCGAATCCGTAAGCAGCATTGTAAATTCTATTTACATAGAGTAGAGATTCAGCATAAGTATCTAATCGACGAGTTTTTCTTTTTAAATGACTTGGGTATTTATTTTTATCAGATTTGTCATTATTGATATGTACTAAATTAATTATGTCATCATTACGATTTGGTTGTCTGCGATGATTTGGATGTGCAAATTCATACTTGTATCCAGAGTTTTCTGTAGAGGAAGAAATTTTTTCTCCTTCTTGTCCAGTTTTATTTATTTTGAAATTATGTTTTGAAAGTATTAATTCACTTTCAAGAGTATTATTATGAGAATTTTTCAATAAATGGATGATGTCTTCAAAAAAATTGTCATGAATTGACTTATTAGTTCCTGTCGACCTATTTAAAATACCATTATCTGCCTTTTCTATTTCTGAGATTCCGTTTTTATGTCTTAATCTTTCGAATGCATTAGCATTTGGCTCTTCATTTCTAAATTCACTTATTTGAAGTAATTTATAAGGATAATCTCCATCTTCTTCCATCATTTCACTATCCGTTGGTGTAGGTGTTGCATTACAATCTCCTCCTATTGATATTAAAAATTTATAATAAAAATTAAATTATTTAAAATAATATTTAGTGATCCATTAATTACCATCAAATTCACAAACTGTTGTATTACATGCAGGATCACATGATCCATCTCCAACCCAAGCCCATGGACAAATATCCGAACAATCAGGAATCCACCATGCTAAATATACTTTCTGACCACCAGTTTGAGTTACAAAATCTTCAGGCCAAATTTCTTGTCCAAGGAAAACATCATCATTAAAATATAAAAATTTATCTGAAAGACCTGGTATTCTGAAAGATATCAAGATTAAAATAATTTAATAAAATTTTAAATATTTCTTTCGAATTGTAAATTATTTTTACTTGTGAAGATGACTTTCTATAGCAGGACTAGAAAATGTAGGTAAATGACTTTTATCGGGAAATATATCGTCATGGGTTATAAGAGTCATTCTTTGATTATCCATGTCCAACCAATTGGGTATTTGTCCATTGGTGACAATGTACACATGTCTGACCCATGGTGCATACATTTCTAACGACCGCAAAGAATACCTAAGCTCATCTTTATCATTGAATCTAGAGACTGCAGCATTTACATCACTAATTGTCACATATTTTCTAAGATCTTCTATAAATGCTGGATCACTGCCATTGACCCATGTATAAACTACATCAATAGGCACATGTTGGCACAATTTATTTTGAAAAGAAGTACCAAGTATATTGTCATTAAAAGAATGAAAAACAGCCTGATATTTTTCTTTACTCCACGCCAACCACACCTACAAAGATATTATTAATTAAATGATTATTTATTGACTTTATTCTTATTTATAATAATTCCTATTGATTATTTTTATCGTAATCTCTAACCTCTCCAAAGTGAACAGTACCAACAAAGATGCAGGTAAATGCAATAAGAATAATAAGTAATGATGATTTATGAGAAAGAAGATCGTAACAACGTCGCTGTATTAGTTTCCATGTACTCATTATACCGATTATCAATTTCGATGCGATTGTCATCGCAAGTTACTCATATTGAACTCCATCGAGACGTTTATTATTAAAAAAAAGGTGGTGAATATACCATCAGAGTAATCCGGACGTTGCACCGAAATATACATGTAAACGAATTACTCACACGTATGTATTGTGAACTTTAAATTCAAAGATATGAATTTAATATGAAATGGCCAGTCAAAGTATTTTCTTTCTTTTAATAAACAATGTCTTACTTATACAATGCCTAATATATGTATGTAAGAGCTATATAAACTAAAATATACATACATACATACATACATACATACATACATATATATGTATACACTGTAAATCCACGGTGTGTTACAGTTAACTTATCTACACGTGTTCATTGTTAAACATCATAAATAAACTATAGATTTTAACAGGCCTTGAAGTGTGTTGTTAGAAATGACTACAAAATTCTATAGTTTGTGCATAGCAATTTTAACACACCTTTGATTTACAGTACATATATATATATATATATATATTGTATGTAATTTCATTTCTTAGCAACTTTGATCATTTGCATCTATAGATGTCAAAAACGCGGTAAAATTATTAAATATAATATTTACAAAATGAGTAAAAAAATAAAAGAACAAGACACTTTATTAGCGATTGTTGAAAACCAGTGTATAAATAGTACTAATAAATATATATCAAAATGTCAAGATCTTAATTTTTTATTTGAACAAAATGACCATAGTATCAATAAAGTTTATGAAGTAGAGGTTAGTTATGAATGTCCACTAAATTATTCTAGAAATTTTTATTATTTATATTTATTTTGATACAGTTTTACTATTTATAGGTTCCGAAAATATGTAAAGATGAATTTTGTATGCTTGGAGTTGATGAAGCTGGACGAGGACCTGTTCTTGGTCCTATGGTATATGGTATTGCTTACATTCCTATATCTAAGAAACAAATTCTTGTTGACATTGGATGTGCTGACTCAAAATCTTTGTCCGAAGATGAAAGAGATACGATTTTTGATAAAATTTGCAATAAACACCAAGATATGGGATGGTCTATCGAAGCAATATCACCAAATTTTATATCGAATAGTATGTACAAAAGATGCAAATCATCGTTAAATGAAGTATCCATGAATGCAGCAATTGGTTTAATTAAAAAAGCCCTTGAAGCTGGAGTAAATGTTACAGAGATTTACGTGGATACTGTAGGTAAATCCGATAAATATGAACTCAAATTAAAAGCTATTTTTCCGCAAATAAAGAAAATAGTGGTTGCTAAAAAAGCTGATTCTACATATCCTATTGTAAGTGCTGCTAGTATTTGTGCTAAAGTATCGAGAGACCATGCCCTGCGAGCTTGGAAATTTCGTGAAACTCAATTCAAAGGAGAATATGGTAGTGGATATCCAATGGATCCTATAACTAAACAATGGTTGACTGATAATATTGATCCGATATTTGGATTCCCTCAAATTGTACGATTTAGTTGGTCTACAGCTGAAAAGATTCTTGAAACAGAAGCTGAAAAAATTTCTTGGGAAAATCCTGAAATAGAAACAATGCCAAAAAGACAAAAAATTTCAAATTTTTTCGCAACAATTTCTTCTGAAGGTATTGTGAAAAAAAAGAAACATGAATTTTTTGAAAAAAGATGTATGACTAATACTATTTCATTTTGAAAAAATTTTATAATCAATTATCTGGATTGTAATTTGGAGATTTATGTTTAAATACTTATCTAATAAATGATTTTTTAACCATTTATCGACAAAACTCATGATTTTATGTAAAAATTTCTTATTTATTCTTAACATCTGCAGGATATTGTTATTAACAAAGTATACCTTGCATTAAAAAGCACCATTAATAGTTGATGAAATGATTTCAAATCGTAAAAATATTTATCGGTTATTAATTATATACAGATAAATTACTCATTTATATGTTATATACCATTTGCTTATAGAATAAAAAAAATTATTTTCAAATGCGATAATATACTTCACATACTCATTAATTATATTTCAATAATAAAACAACTTTATCAAACCTCCTCAGGTACAATTATGAATAGTACATCTTTTAAAAAAAGTTCTTACTATTTTTCATATTATTATTGGAATTTCATGATTGCATAATCAAATCTGTCTATGTATCGAAAAATCTATGTATATTATAATAAAGTGATATTTTTTCATATAATGTTGATCGATTATTATTATTATTATTATTATTATTATTATTATTATTATTAATAATATACCATAATTTTTTGTGCATTCAGATCAATAATATATTGATATTCTAATTAATGATGATGACCAGTTGTAATAAGTGCTGGTAATAATGATCCAAAAACTAAGGCCATTATTTCTTTGAATTTTAAACCAGAAGTAGGAGGTGGTGCTCCTTCAACTGTGGGTAAATGTGCATATGAATTACTATTTCTCGTCATTAATTCTGGTAGAACATGGACTGTTGCCACGTAAAGAAATGTTCCAGCACTAAAGAGCATCGCTAATCCTGTAGCATTGACATTACTAAGTGTTTCCTTTCCCTCCTAAAATGTAATTAAATAATTTTATTAGTATTATATCCTGATTACTCATCAATAATTTTGACTTTAATAATTAACTACTCCATACTTTTCCAATTCCAAAATATGTGATAAGTGCTAAACAAGGAGCAGATAAAGAAAATACTAATAAATGTCTATTTATTTTTTTTCTATCAACTCCTTCGTGAAGAAGAAATGAAACTAATCCGAATGCTGCTGGTGCCTATAAATGAAAGAAATTAAAAATAGTTGGTATAAATACTGATAAATGTAAAAAAAGCTTTATATTTCACCTTGTGTAGCATAATAGCGAGAAATACAATAACTTCAACATCAGCTTGAGAAGTGGTTGCTGCCGCTCCTAAAGCAACACCGTCAGCAGCAGCATGAACAACTAATCCTATAGTAGCAGTAAAACTTTTTTCTTTTCCTCCACTTCGTCTAGTGGAACATTGATCAACCAAAAGCATAAAGACAAATCCAAGTACTAAACTTATACCTATCATACTATGAAGACCATCTATAAAAATATTTAAAAATTATTTTATAATAATTTATCTTGAAAATCGAATTATAATTGTTGAAGTCAATCTTGCCATGTTCACCAGTTACTGAATGAAGATCTCCAGTTGTTGCACTAGTAAAAAGTGCTCTGATTCCTTCGGGAATAATCACAGCTAATGCAGTCCCAACTAAAAGCCCTGCTCCTAAAACTGATACCAATTGCAATTTATCCTAAAATGGAAAAAAAAAGGTTATAGAATATTTTATTTGTTTCATAATTATGTCAATATTCGAATTAGATAAATTACCTCTGATAAATTTACCACAAGTGGCAATGATCCAGCTACATAAGAACCAATTAACATTACTAAAGAGAGTATCCACAAAACTGCAGTTTGATCCATATTTTAATAAAAATATTATTTGATTATTTATTTTTCAAATGTAACTTTTTTCTAATAGAATTCAATTAATTAAGATAAAGAGAATGCCGCGTAAGATAAATGCGGCAAATTAAGTTTTTATCTACCACATGTTAGCTTTCTATAAGACATGTTTTTTTAAGAGTCGAAAGTCAACGTAACTTCAAACGATTCATAGGATAAACATGATACAGTACCAGATATAAATGCTGTTAAATTTTTCAAAGGTTACAGATGCGATTTCCTTATACCGTCCTATAGAAAATTATAAAGCATTTATGTTCGGTACTGTACAGTCAGCTGTAGATAGTTACTTAAATTAACAATAGTTGGCGTTGATAGTGGTTTAGGCTAATGACCTTGTGATTATTTAAAAAGTGAAAGGAATTTACGTTAAATTCCATATTAAATTAGAAAATACATATTTAAGAATTTCTTTGTCAAAAATAGGATTTGAATGAGATAATGTAAAATTAGTCGTAGTCAATAAAATTTATTTCTCATGTTTAATAAAAAAATTTGTTTTTAATAGATTAACTATGATATAATGAAATTAATTTTGCATAATAGCACAGAAGTTTATGCAAACACATCAAGTATTGCCAACTTAATAATGTAATAAATGCAAAATAATATTCAACATAACTAAACCAAAAATGTAGTGCATTACAAATTTATCACTTAAATTTTAATTTCTTACGTTCATAGAGTTACGTAGTTATTACCAATGTAGTAAGAATCATTGGAATTATAATAGGCCATAAAATTATGTACTTGAAATTAAAGCTAAAAGTGTAAAAGTTGTGTCTAGAAAAAGAATGCATTTTTTATGATTTATTATTTGAATTTTTCCAAAATATACTGTATACAATATTTAACTTTACTTATAAATATATACAGTCATGAATCGACGAACACGCACTAGATTATGTTATATTTTAACATAAATTGAGCAGTACGTGATCAGTCTACTTATGATTCGAAGAAATATGCAATATTTTTACTTGATCAAAACTTCATATTTACTCCGTTAATCTAATTATATAATGCTCCTGGTGTTCTATCGTCCATTATAATTATTTATTGGTTCGCTTACGCATAGGGCACAATAAAACATTTGTAATCAGAAAGACAAATAGTGTTTTCCTTATAATATTCTTGTTTCAGACGCCGCATCGTTTTATAAATATGTACACAGTTTAGGATTAATGGTTATTGGATACAATATAATTAATAGTTGGGATTGCGAGGATTAAAGGAGATCAATTTTAGGGGGGCTAATCAGCATAGACAATGAACTGCTGATTATCCACATCAGCTACTTCCACTTGTACAAATTGTGGTTGTTGTAATTGTATTTGTGATACTTGTCTTCCGATATTATTTCGTGATCTAAAATTTTGAGAAATATTTTTAATTTTTAGTATTATTATTATTTTTAAAAATATAATATTACTGTAAAAATAAAATTCTTTCTTGTATAATTATTTAACCCTATTTTTTATTTTAAATAATAATGTTTACTTACTTCGCTTTAGCATGTGTCAATATATGGGATTTTAAATTTGTTGATTGAGCAAATTTTTTGCTGCATCCGTCGAAAGGACAAACATACGGTCTATCTCCAGTGTGAATTCTTACATGGGTTCTTAAGTTAAAATCAAGACTGAATCTCTTTCCACAACCTTCGAAAGTACATTGAAACGGTTTTTCACCAGTATGCACCAATTGATGCCTTTTTAATTTCGAACTTTCAACAAACGCCTTTCCGCATTCTGCACACACGTGAACCCGAGGACCATGCGTATGCAAATGCTTGCGCATAGCACTATTGTCTCGAAACATTTTGGTACATCCCTTGTGTGGACAGGCAATAGTACGTTCTACTCCATCTATAGCTGGTGGTTTACGTACTTTTATCTTGTGTCCAGGTCTGGCAAATTCTGCCAGTTGTTTTGGATCAGATAAATCAAGTCCTGGCATCCCATCAGATACTGAACTTCCTGAGTGGTTGAACTTTGTATTGGATTTTCCTGTCATGTACTCGGTGTAATCTGGATCAGGCTCAGGATTAGAACCTTCATCTGGAACATCCACCAGGTGAGACGCTAATAGGACACTCCCTTTAACAGCAACAAACAAGCAAACCCAAACAAAAGCTCAAATGGCATTGCTCATTTTTAAGAAATTACTATTGTATTGCATCTGTTGTTTTCTCTACAAGTATCTACATGATCATGATCATTTTTTACTAGCAATTTACCAAATAACAACTAAAGTCAATGAATTTTTTAAAAGACGACATATTAATAGTTAAAACAGTGTGACTCAATTATAAATAAATTTAATTACTTCAAATTTGAAATAAGTACCATAAACAAGCTGCAGGGTGATGCTGTTTAATATAGAGAAGAGTTGTAACCCTTGCATTTATAGTAAAATTTATGTTAAAAAAAAATACTTTACATATAAAAATTTATATATATTAAAACGGAAGCATTAAAACTAATAACAATGAAATCATAAGGGAATATTTTAATGTTTATTAAAAGTACGAATAAGTAGAAAGACTTTGAGTTGCAGATGATTCAAGAAGTGGCGGGCCTTTATTCATTTTTCTTAGATCACCGCCATTATTCATGGCCGCGGTTGATCGTGAAAAAGAAGCCATTTTCAAAATATGGCTGCGCCCTGCTATCATAATGGCGTTCTCTCAACCAAAACAAACAACATAGACTGTCAAAAAAATGACCGGCATTTAAATTATTAAGAATAAATGGTAATAAATCTTATAAGCCACGTGGAGAAGTATAGTATTGATCAGAGCGCACCGGAAGTGCGTACTCCCGTCTTCTTAGCAATACGCGAACGCGTAATATAAAGACCCCCATTAATATATCTACTGATAAGTGTAATTTTTATTGAACAGTAAAAAAAAAAAAAGAAAAAACAATAGAAGCAACGAAAATCCATAGCTTACCGTCATCAGTGCCCGAAGCCCACATTGTCACCGAAAATTCTCCTTCGAGAGTCTTGATTTGAACCTGTTTTTGCTCCCACTTCCTAGCCTTAGTTTCAGTACCCATATCGCCAAATATCGTATGGTCTGGTGCACGAAATCTTGAATTGCCGCCTTTTCTTGCTTTCTTATTTGTCTTTCTCGATGGTCCAGGACTGGATTCCACATAAATATCGTTATCCGGTACTGGTATTTGATCGTAAACGCTCAACGGATCACTGCCGACAATTTCCTCTTGCGTCTGTAATATGATTTCCTCGCGTCCAGGTTCAGGGAGTGGTTGAAGCGCAATTATAGGTTGCCCGTCTTCTCCTTCGATAGTTGTCTCCACAGTTTCACAAGGTATTTCTACTGGAATCGTTTCTATTTCGACTTCTTGAATATCCGGTTGAATCTCTACCTCCGTTATTATGTCTGACGACGCCATATTAATCTCCCCTGACGCCATGTTACTAATCAAAATGGCTAGCTCTGTTCAACCGCGCGACGCACGACCGGACAGACAACTTTTCCCCCTCTTCCAACGTCATTTGTAAGAAGCGCTCTCTCGTGGTTAAATATTTAATTTATTTTTTTACCGACTATTGGTTTTCGTTTTTTACGATTCGGTAACAATTAATACTAATAGAGGGCAGTAGAAGATTGTTCAATAAGTGAAAGAAGTTAGAAAAAGTAAACAAAGAAGAAATATTGTTAGTAATTTTTCATTATTGAATTGAGTATTGTCAAGTTGTTTTTTGTTGTTAATAATCGACTTTTTTTTCATCATTCTCGATAGTTCTCGTTAAATGATGATATTTATGCAATTTTCGATAAGTGTTAGAATTGAATGTACAAAAAAGTTCTACAATATTTACAAATTATCTGTCTATTAATTATGTATCTATTTGTTTTTTATCAAACTTATATTTTACATCACTAAACAGTTATTTATCATGAAATATTGTATCAATGCACTTGATTGATTTCAATTTGATTCGACACTTATTTAATCTAAAAAAAATAAAAAAGATCGTATATGAGTATAATTATACTTACAAACAATTAACATAAATTATGAGAAAACCAGATGTAAAGTTTATCCGAATAACACGCTGGACATTTTTCGTACCACTCGTTATTTATATTAGTCTATTATATATAAAATATAATAAGAATTTAAAATTAAAAAGTTCAAATAAAATTGATGAAGATTTGGAAATACAAAGATTGTTAACAGAATTAGAAACAGCAACAATAAAGACTATTGATAAGGGTGTTAATTTTGATAGTTTGCCAAAAATTACTAATATTGAATCTGAAAAAACAAGTAATCCAAAATTATTGCTCGAAAGTATTTTCTTTAAAGTTGATCACAATAAAAATCAAGAGCTGGATATCCAAGAATTAGCTAAATGGATATATATGAAAATTACAGAACATCTTGAGAGTGCTCCACAAAATAATATTATTTTATTTACCCAGATTGACAATAATCCCAGAAATGGTAAAAATCGTACAATAAAAATAATTATTATATACTACTACGTATATCGTTAAATATGTTAATAAATGAAATTTAATTTCAGGTGATATATCTTGGGATGAATATCACGCGTATTTTTTACGATCACATGGACTTTCTGAAAATTATATTAATTTTCACAATAAAAAACATTCAGATTTGCCTAAATCTTTAAAAGAAAGTATTATGCGAGACCGAGCTAGGTGGACTGAAACTGCGAGAAATGATCCAGAGAGATTAACTTTAGATGAATTTCTAGCTTTTACCCATCCTGAAAGCAGTCATCGCGCTCTTTTACAAATGGTTGAAGATCTTTTCGAAAAATTCGGTAACCTATTCTTAAATTCTTTACAATTGAAATTAATCTAAAGATCCATTATTTTTATATAAATGAAATTTGTTTATTTTGAGAATTAGATCGAGATGGTGATGAACAATTGACTGAAGATGAATTCGCAGATCTACCGTCCGATGGTTTAGGTCTTGATCTTCAAGAAGAAAAACTATCAACTGTCAAAGGTAGTGACGGTCGTAGACAAGAATTTCGTTTTTTAATTGATCGAAATAAGGATGGAAAGGCTGACAGAACAGAGCTTTTGGTAATGTTTTTATTGAAATGTGTTTTAGTATGAAAGATTAACTGTATTTCCAATTTTTTATTTATTTTATTACCCCTAGATGTATATAGATCCGAGAAATCCACATCATGCAATTCGAGAGGCACAGCATTTGATAGAAGTTGCTGACATAAACCAAAATAATAAGTTAAGTCTATCAGAAATTTTAAGTAAAGCGGATTTATTTTTAGAAAGTAAAATGGTAGATACTGAAAAAAGTTTTCATGACGAATTTCGATAAATGCATCTTTAATACCTATGAGTTAAATCAAATAATACATATGTTTTGTTATATCTTTTTACATAGATTTATTGATGTACAGGAAATTTATTAATAATTGATTTAACTAAATTTTAGTGATAGTATCTGTGATAGTCATAATAAAAGACATAGAGAAATAATTATAAATTCAAACTTTAATCAAACACTCATATAATTTATTCATAGATTTTATACACAAATTCAATATTTAATTACATTTGAAAAAGATTTTTAAAATTTTTAATTTTCATGATAAATGACAATAACAATATTTGATAATCCAATTTTTCATAACACTTAATAAAAAACATTTTTCATATCTATAGAAAATGTTTTACAGTAATTGACATGAATTAACACAGCATTTATTGTGTAAATTTGAAATATGAAATACTATTTAGCACACAGACAAGCGTTCCAAAAGTTTGAACTATTCTTTTCAATCAGTAAAATTATTTATTGTTTATTATCAAATTATTCGATTCATAATTATTTTCATCAAGTACATAATATACATTTCCATATTTTCGCGTACTTCTTAAGTGTTAGGTCATTTTTATCTCAATATACCATATTTTGCAAGCAAATTTATGTTCTTATTTTTCTTCTATCTGTTTATTTTTAATATTAAAGTGTCTTTCTGAAAACGGTAAAAAAGAAGAAAATTTTCTATATGATGAAACTCATTACAATGACATTAAAAAGCAACCATTACAGTTTTATTTGATAATACTTCGAGGTAATTCATCTTTTTTTTTCATTACAAAATTTTTTCATAAATCACTAAAGCCTTTGTCAAGACTCTGAGGTATTATGTTAATATGTTGTTCTTATTCTGGCGAGACACTGTCGCCAATACCACCATGGTCAAACTGTTGTTCTATAAAAGGATAAGAAAAATTTTTAATTGAAAAATAGACAACTTCTTCAAAAATCTGTAATGTACTTGATTAATTGTATTTTTATATATTTTCAAGAATTTTTTCTACTTATATATGTCCTTTGGGGTTAATACTTTTTTAAAAGCATTAGCTTTTCGACAGAATAGAAAATTTCTTTTCATTCTTTACTACTTACTCGGCAGGTCGATCCGGGGGTGGAGTATTTCCGCCACGACAACAAAGTCTTATCCATCCACTAGATCTTAATTCTCTTTCATCAGTTTCTATCGCTATAGAATTTATAAACATATTAATGAAATTTTAATTCTATAGTGAATAGTACATTTTATAAGTGATTTATGTAATTATTGAAATACTAACTTGAAGTAATTCGATGTGTTTGACAAGCACTAACAGTAGACTGTCTTCGTGATCGATGATTACTTGCTCGTAGAGATAGGTATATTGATATTGTTTTATGTAATGCTAGTCTTACCTAAAAATGTTAATTAGGTGATCGTCTGTTTTTTATAAAATTAATTATTCTTCAAATATACATAGGCTGAATATTAAACCAATTAATTGACAGAAAAACTACAAGTAATATTAACTTTTTAGTTGAATAATACAATGAAAAACGATTGTTTTGACATATAATTAGTGTTATTTAATACATAATTACGTAATCTAACCGTAATTGAATTTTGAACACAATCTGTCAGGCCGCTTTTTGCACAGAATAAAAAAACTGTAAAAAGGCAAACTATCCAGTTTTTACAATTCCGAAAGTTTTTTTTTTCTAAATAATTAAGTGTTTCTTTCAATATTTTGTTACTATTTACTGAGTCACACATAAATCAGTGTTTTTTAAATTTTTTGTGGCATTTAAAGTTTTTGCCAATGCATTTTAGTAACATTATGATGAACAAATCACAAAATATAAGAACTATTGAGAATGTCAGAATATTATTTTTTAGATACAAAAAATGTGTCAGATTTAATTAATAGTTAAAAGTTATTCAATTGATATACAATAATAATTTGATAATTTTTATTACCTCGCCATTGAGGAAGCAATATAAAGTTGCAATAAAGAGTCCTTGGAAAGAAGTGAGGAAATGTGTCGTATAAGACCACAGGGCAAACCATATCGTTTTATCTAGTGGTGCACCAGCCATTGAAATTAAATTAGTAATTCCCAATAATGGTAGTAGAACAACTGCCGCCCTTACAGCTTTCCTGATAAAAGCAACCCGCAAATATTTCAATTGATTTTCTGAATTTTTCAGTGAATTCAATACATCATATAGTAAAATACATAATAGTAAAATTAATTGTTGATTTAGATGATGTGCTACTTACCTTGCCTGTTCTGTTTCACTTGTATGACTTTGTCGTAGCTTTACTACTAATACTCGTACTATGTTCATCAGAAATAAGAAATTGAGCTTAATGAACAGAAAAGTTTAAATTTTTATCAATACTAATGAAACATGGTAGGGATTTTTTTTAATTGAATAAAATAAAAATTTTACCAATATAACTGCCATCCTTGGTCCTTCTAATATCCAGAAGTAAAAAGTAAGATTGTAACCCCACCAACATCTAAAAAGTATAATACAAATGAGGAAAAAATTTCCTCATAACAAACTTTAAACTCACTTTGTTGGATGATAATATACAGCAGTTACAATTGCCCAAGCTAGTGTCATTATAAGTGGAAACCCCCATCCAACAAGTCGATACATTCGATAATAAGCTGTTTCTTGAAACACAGTGACTGTTGAAGAAAAACAATAATTTCTGATTGTTTTATGTACAAGTTCTAGTATTTAAAAAGTACAATAATAGCACGTAAAATAATATTGTCATCAGGATATGAAATTTCATAACATTTTTTTTTCATAGTGGAAAAATAATTTGATCTTGTAACATAATATAACATAATATCTCTTAAATCACGGGAATGAAAAGCGAATGAAGATCATAATAAGTTAAATTGAAAAGGAATTTCTTTTACATAAAAAAATTTTTTCTATATTCTACTCAGTTTTAATAATGAAATAAAATTCAAGAAAATAAATATTTACCAGTTACCATATTATGAAGAAAGAATCCTTCAATAAACATCCACATAAACATGGCGGTTCTTGCATATTCTAGAAGAACGTAACTTGCTTCGCATAATATAGGCTTTTTTGTTAGAAAAAATATTTATAAGGGGTTTCTTTAAATTAGATGAAACAATGGTCAATATTGATTCATTACTATACTCACTGTGTTATTTATTCCCTGTTCGATTCCGTAGACTTTGGATTTAATAAGAGCTTGATCGATGTATAATGTTAGTCTAATAATTACTTGGATCACCATTGCTACAAAGAGATTTTTATGGATACGGGTTCTCGTATTTCTTAAAGATCTATAACAAACGTAGAATACTTTAATTTTATTTCTCGAATTTTTATCGATAAAATAATATGAATAAAATTATAATGCCAATGTCAAGGTTATATGACCTTGATTACTCTATATGTCAGGGAGGAATAATAGTATCCGTTGTATCATTAAAGTGTAATTGTCTGTAAAGAATGCTCAATTTTACCTTAAACAATCATCATAACATGACAGTATTAAAGAGAAAAAATTACTTTTCAAATTATTTAGTACAATAGAGCTATAAGTTAACTTACCTGAAATGCCAAAAAATTCCCAGAGACATTAACAGAGCTGTTAGAGATATGGTTAGTCCAACAACTTCTAAAGTTCTTGTTTTTTCGGCTATATCTAGTTTTACCTAAGAAATATAAAAAAAAATTCATAAATTTTATAATTTTCCAGAGGAAAAAAAGCTTTAAAGACTGCGCGTTCTCACTTAACATAAGTATTTCAAGATTGAAAAAGAGAGTATAGTTTATTTCGAACATATAAATATGAAAAAAAATGAATAGATTTATAAAAAATTATTTTGGATGCATTTTTGAATCATAAAAGTTAAGATAATGATGAATAAATGTGAAAAATTTTATTTTCAAGATCCATTTCACAAACCATATACGTATACTATAGTAGTAGCTATCAAATGAAACTGAGATTATTGAACAATCATTGATGATTTCAACGAGTTTTAATAATCGGCCTCTCTTGATAGTATTCACTACTGATAGTTAAATTATTTTTATCAAAATCAATAATCAGACTCATTAAATGCAAAGTTGATGATATAATAGAAGATATTATTGATAAAAAGTAATTAATCTATTTCATCTTAATGAAGAGATAAAAATTAATAAATTAAATCATAAAAATATTACTTGTGCTGCATTTTCATTTCCAGCATAGAGTTTGCGGATTAAAATTAACATTTCCGGTGTAAAGCATGGAGTATAGTTGGTCCATCCATTAGACAGTTCTCGTTCTCCATTTCGTCCAAGCCATTTTCCATCATCACTACATATCCTCTCAGCAAATTCTAATAAAGAAAAAACATACAAGCCTACACTGGCTGATATGAAAATGATGGAAGATTTTATTATCGAAAGTTCTTTTCGCTTCGAAACTATATTCACTTACAAAGAGAAAAAATATATGAAATAGTGGAATGATAGATGAACGTTGTATCAATGGAGCATATATATTTCTTTGAAAGTTTTTATACAATTTTTTTCTATATCTGTCGTTGCATTCAACAGACAGTTGTTATTATGATGTATAAATTTATGAAATGTCACTGTTGTGTCGACAATATGCAATGTTTTTCATAATAAATAGAGAAAATCCATCTAAAAGTATCTCATGTAAAGTGAAGAATATAAAAATAAGTCATTTTGGGTCAGTTAAAGTTGAAGAAAACTTTTAATATTCTGACATTTTTGTGCATTACATATTTTCTCTAGGAAACGAGTATCGTGCACTATCGAACAATCGAAACTGCTTTGTAAAATAGGTCGAGTACGTTCGTAATACAGATTCTTCAACGGACAGTATAGGAACTTTTTATCATCGCAGATTCAAAAAAGCTCGAGACATATATTTTTCTGCTGAGGTAGCTATTTTTTCGTTAGTCGATTTCTCGATGACACTTACTTTGCAATATTAATATCATTTTAAAAGAAAGTACATTAATAAATCAAGTTATTATTGTTTTTAACTTTGATTTTTTTTAAATATTGAATAATCCATTGCAAGTGGTACATAAATGACTAGTAGATAAATTTGAATTTAAATTAATGAAAACATTTATGATCTCTCGGTAATCAATAGTAATTAAATAAACGATGTTGAGCAATAAAAACTGAAATTTTCATTATTTATAGAAAGGATACAAAATTAAATAAAATAAATAATGGTACAAATTATAAAAAAATGTTACTTGAATATACGTATACCAATCGAATCTTTATTCTTTGACAGTGAATAAATTGAGCAATATAATACAATGTAGTAACAAGGGGAATGTGAGAAACAAATTATTTTGAAATACCTTTTTCCATATAAAGTATGTCCGATTGGTATGACCTTGCGTGATATGTTTGAGAAAATTTATATCTCAATCGTAGGACAGAAACTTGGTCCAATTTTAAGTTAAATGCAAGTAGCATTTAAAAGCTTTTAAACATACTTGCCGTGTATATAGTAGTTCTTGGTCTCATTCAAGAAGATAACGTAGTCGGAAATGTTTATATTTTTTGGAAGCTTTCGTTAAAATATACTTGAACTTTTCAAGTTTACAGATATGTTTATTTCTCGGACACAAATTAATATGATATATACACATATATAAATATAAATGATTATTAATAAGAGTAATTTCTTCCTATATAAGTGACAGAATTTATCTTCTTACTCTTTTGCTATTTTACTTATGAATATGTGTTATCAAATGGCAATATTTTTTAACCTATGAGACTCTCTTTCATAAGAATTAAAATTAAATTAATTGAGGGGAATTAAAGAGCATATATTTTTTTTTCATTATTTGTATCTATTATCTATAAAAATAGTAGAAATAGAGAGAAATTAAATACAAATTTAATTTCTCTACGTAATGTGGGAGGATGTTGATGAAATATAAATTACGAAGGTATACATATAATAATATCTTTTAATTATCTTTGTCAGTAGTTGATAATAAAAGAAGAAACATTGTAAAAAAGTGTTTTTGTTTGAAGTAGAAGTACACATTTACAGATTTGAATGAGTAAATCATCTATTGATTATTCAACTCGTCACACTTTTATATGATTGTGATAAATACAACAAATTTAATGGCATATTCTTGTAACTCAAGTAAATCATGGTTTATTGTAATCGATAATAAATACTGTTGAGTTTTCATTTAGATATCCAGCAATAAAAAATTTTTGGAGTCTTGCCCAAACTTACTTTCTTCATCTTTATTTTGATATTGTTCAATTTTATATTGTCTATTTTTGCGTCAAACCGACCGTTTTATTTATACTTAAATAAAATAAATTTCCTATCAACCAAACTTTATGGAAATATATAATATTAAATTAATAATAAAGTGATAACTCTGAATTGATAAAAGCATTAAAGTGATTTTTAACGACGTTTAATATATTACCAGTGATTTATATGAGGATTGATGAATATTCACTCACTTGTTGGATCAACTCCATTGGCTAGGGGACATTGTTGTGTTGCTGTTGTGGAAGCTTTTACTGGAGGCCAACATAAAATAGAATCCCAGGCCCAATTGCACCAAATTTCTGAAATTAACAAAATTTCAAGAATTTTTTTCTTTTTTCCGAATAGTAATTGTAACATAATAGTAACGAGTGAAATTACCTCCTTCCGGGGGTGTAAAGTGCTGATATTTGAGACCACAAATTGCTTCAGTATTATTACTAGAGTTTACCAAATCCACCATATTTTTAACGATTATTCTTACATTAAATTCTTCAATGTACTAATCGATTTATATTTTCATTACTACCATTGTTTTAATTACTAGTTCTTATTTTAATTTTGATACTAGATATCCACATTTCTGTAACAGGTTTTTACTGAAATATTCAAATTGTTTTTCATTCAGACGAATTTTTAAGTGCATATAATGATCAATATACTCAAAAAGTTTTCGTCTTAAAGCTTCATGACACTCTTTAGTAATAAATAAATTTTCAATAAGTAATATTGAGTCATTCATGATGGTGATTAATATATCTGTAACATATTAGTTTAGAGTATAAAATGAATAAACAAATAGAAACAATATCGAAATTTTATGTTATTTTTTTTTAAATATGATTTTCTTAAAAAAGTACAATTAGTGAAACTAAAAAAATTATTAAATTATAGTAATTTTATTAAAACTTTATACTTCCTATAACTATTGTAATGTTCATGTTTATCAATTACTTTATTATTATTACAAAATATTAAAGTGAAATGGTTTAAAACGAATAAGTTTATTTACTTTCAATACGAAATATCATGTAAAGTTGCTGCTTTTAACTAAAATTGTACCTATTTTTTCGCTTTTGTATGCTTCATCAACAATGACTCTCAAATTCAATTTGTCTTATGGTTCACTATCATCGCACTGTTGTTTCAATCTTTTAAACCCTATTTTTATATATCCAATCAATAGTTCCTCAAATATATATAGAAATAATAATTGTTAAATCTTAAGACAGTATAGATATTGATAAATAAGGACTAAATGTATGGTTTCATCACATTTAAGAAATGTTGTTCTTTTAATGCATTTCTATCAAAATTGCTATAAATTTTTATCAAAGACGTACTATACTTATTTCATTATACACATAAATTTTATTTTATAAAAGATTATTATTATTAAATTGTTTTTTTTTTATTTTCATTTTCAAAGATACTTTGCAAGAATTAGCTTTTTACTAACCGAAAATTCTTTTTTTCTTTATTATTTATATAAACATAAGTGAACAATATGAATTTTTTAATAAAAATAATTTCTTTTTCAAAATATTCATATTTGCTTGCTCATAATCAGTTTCATATTCGGCAGCTATTTTGACTTTTCTATTGTTTTCCAGCGGTCTATAACATGTATATGTATATATATAGCATTGTTATATATAGTTGTATTAGAAGCAAGGTTTTATACTTTTACTGCTAAATAGGACAATCAATAGAGAGACCGTAGAACCAAGGTGCAAGGACAACATTTTTCGCAAAAATTTTTTTCTCAAAATCAACTCTGACAAATGGTATTAAAATGAATATTTGTATGTATTAATTATTTAATTTTAAATAACATTTTTAAATGATTGATTATATGAAATAATAATAATAATAATAATAATAATAATTATTAATTATTATTATTATTATTATTATTATTATTATTATTATTATTTTTTTTCTTTTAGATTAAAAAATAACAATTTATATATTTATTAGTTTTAGAACAATGCCCATTAACTTTGTTATTATCGAACAACCGAATTAATGTTATAGTTATCCAATTTGAGCTTTTTAGAGTTTTGCTTATATTTGTTTACTTCATCGCATTATTTTCTGTATAGTCTTATATAAATATATTTGAGAGTTAGTTTACCTGATTAAAAATATATCACTCATAAAAAATGTTATACCAGTAAAATATTTTGAATTGAATGAGACTCTGAAAAGAAACACAATATTTGCACTTGTGTTTCATTTACGTATGGTTCATGTATTTGAAGAGGAATCAGGGTCAATAGAGCTTTTAAATAACAAATAAAATTTCACAAACCAGGTAAATATGCATAAATTAAATATAAATAATGATTATTATTACTATATATTATTTTTAAAAATTTCAATATAATATGAGTAAAAATTACAAATAAAATTAAATATGTAATGAATAAATAAAATCAACCTGTACTATTATTTTTTCAATCAATTATAAGTGGCAAGGATCGAATATGATCAAATATGAATTTTGAGGTCAAATTCAATTTCTATGGAAATTATTCAGTAAAGTATCTCTTGTTAGGTATTTATTTTTAGAATTATAAATACCACTTTGATGAATTTTAATTAGTTATATACATTAAAATATAGATAAACTACATATTAGCCTTATAACCGATTCACAATTATACATTTTACAATACCACATTTTTTAATTGATGGAATGAAATTTTTATATTTCTTAAAATTTTAAAATAATTTTGATACATTAAATATTAAATTTAACCGGTGATTTGAAATTTAATAGCATAATTAATCAATGAAATGTAACGTTGTGGGGAAAATTTTTCGAAAAGAACAAAAACAAATATATATATTTAACAAATAATTGAAAATTTGTATGAAAGAAAAAAATGTGAATAAATGAAAAGCTTCAGTTTGTTTAAATATTTTCTTTACATAACTTTCAAAGAACTTTGAGTAGTGAATGCATAACTGTGTAAAATTGTTACGATGTTTCTGTCTAATTCTTTTATTATATATACATATATATTTAATACATAAAAAAAAAAAAACAAATTAGAAAAGAGAAAAATGCAAAAAATGTAGCAAAGAAATACTCCGTTATGTGAAAATTTTTATGATGTAGAAAATATTATTCGTTCGTATATCCATAAATTGATAAAAGATTTAGTAATAGATTACAATATATTCGAAGCACAAAAACAGATATTGTAGATTTAATTACGTCAATTAGTAAAAGCGATAATGATATTAATTATTCCCTCTTGTGTTGGATTATACAAATACTCCGAATTTATGAGATTTGGATGGTATTAAGGATGATTGCGTAATAGTTACCTGACATTTCGATTAAAAACAGAAGAAAAATTAATAAAAAGGTGTATTAAATGATTGAACTCAATAATTGTTTAGGATTTAAAAGATTATGTAATATTATTATGTGAATATTGGAATAAAAAAAAAATTAATAATTCTTTGAAATTCAAAATATAAAACTTTAATTTCGAAATTAACCAATCCTCAAACTTTTTTTCATTATTTTAATTAAATTTTAAATTATTTAAAAAAAGTAAAAAAAACTCAAATTATGTTTCATGAAAGTGATTTTTTAAGTAGTGAACTTTGTTTGTATAACCAAATTAGAATGTTTTACACGATCTCATAGAAATTTAATAAATTTCTGAAGTCAATTTGATCACGGCCAATTGATATTAAATAGTTTTGAAAGCTGTAAATAAACTAGGAAAAGTATAAATTAGGTCAGCAGAACTACACTTTAACCATGAATAGTAAATGGCTGGTGTACTAATATACTAAGAGATAATTAAGACTTAAAGATAAAGTCTGGGTTAATTCGAATTTTGCTCTATAAAGTTTATTCCCAAAGGATATAGTCTGTGATGAACGGATTGACAATAAGGACATTTAAGGGAAAAATCTAATTTTTTTTTCTGTTGTCAGAATAATTGATGAATCTTACTTGGATAATAAATTTATGCTACTGATAAATATACTAAGGTAATCAAGTGAAAATTTTTTGTTAAACATTACTGTTTTTTGTAATTATGAAACTTTAATAGAATAGTAATATCGATTTTTTTCTTTTAATCACAAATATCATTTTGTAATTAAATTTATGTAAAATAAATAATTATAAATATGGTTTAATTTAATATTGCAGTTGATAAAACTTGTGAATCTGTATTTTTACTTTAATGTATTTTATTATAATCAGACATCCAAAAAATGTGGCTAACAATTTTGAAGTACTTTTTTGAAGCACACGTTAACACATGAAAAAATATTTCATATTTATAAACATGTCATGCAGATATATATCTTTTGAAGTTATCTTTACGTATCTTCTTTCAAATTACGTTCAGTTGAAATTTTACATTCTCCAAAATTTAAGTAACATTAATTTTTTATTTAATTTTAAAAAACGAAAAAAAAAACCAAGAAAATTTCTGGTTCAATAAATAAAACATTATGATACAAGAACTAAGATGATGGAAGCGTTGTAAATAAAGTTGAAACAAGTAATAGTATTATGTGATAATTATTTTGAAGAAACATTATTTATTAATCAATGAACAATTACAATGTAATTTTCCATTAGTAGGTGAGTAAATAACACAAGACTTGAAAATTTTCAAAGAAACCAATAGATGAGACAAGGAAAATAATACAAGTTAACGACTAGTATCATATTCGCCACAAAGTTCATTACTCTGCCATGAGAAATATGGATAAATAACGTAAACAAAAGAAAACATTTCATAAATCGATATTCATTATTAAAAAGAAAAAATTACTTACCGTACATATATTTTAATATTTTCGTGGTATGTTCTTCTGTTATTCTTTTGCAAATATAGCTTTTCTTGTATTGTTATTCATCAAAAAAATAAATTCACTAAATTGTTATTTAGTTATTTTAAAATTCCATTTACTGATTTCAACTTTCATAAAAGGAGTTTATAAAAAATATTCATAACTTATGATAAATGTGTAGGAGTTGAGAAAGAAAATAAATATTATATTCCATCACAGTCATTTGAATATCAATATAAAACAATATTTCAAGTTATTATGTTTTTTGAATATTATAACGCGTGAACAATTTTCAATTGATAATAAGTGGAAAAAGCTCTAAGGAGCTTGCGGGCGCGCAAAAATGCACGCTGCAAGTGCAACCGGTTTGACTCGTTTCACCGAGAAACTTGTATTACCCCCAATACAACCTTTCTACGCGTTACCCGCAGTCTCCAGTTTCCACCAATCATTTGCTTCTGCACGTTTTCGTGTTCAACCCCACTATGTCAATTTTATGTTATGTTTTAAAGAGGGATCGAAGAGAGTTGTGACAAAGTCGATTTGCCAAAACCTACGACCATTACCGAAGTGATAACATAACAGCGCAAATTTGTTTTTTTAAAAAGTACTATTTCTAACGGTAATCTAACGGTCATAGATTCTGAGAACCTACTTTTCCTTATTATTTTTAATATATAATTCAAATCACTTTGAAATTAAGGATACTATCAATCTATCAGGAATATTTACTTTATTTATCAATAAAGAATTAACTTTTTTTAATTTTTAAAATTGCAATGTTAATTATTAAATTATGTGAAATTATTATAATACTGTCCAACATTTAACATCATATTTTATGAAGGAAAAGAATATTGAATAAACAAAAAGTTTTACTGTTAAACCAAAGACTGAAACCTATAAACTTCTTTGTTGAGTAGTTTCTTGATTGAAGAAATAATGTTCTCAAGCTTTTGATTCAATCCCAAGGGCTTGAATTACGTAATGTTTACTAACGCTGAACCAAGTTTAGTTGTAAAAATGAAATAAATTAATAAAGCGAGTGTTAAACATTTAAATAAATTACAAACATACTTTTTCTTTATTTAAAAGTAAATAACTATTATAATAATAAATTGAAGAAAAAATAATTATGTAAAGTTGTACCTTTATTATAAATAAGTAACGACAAGTCAATTTTTTTTTGTTTTAATTATCATTAAGGGATATTAATTTCAAAATAAATAAAATATTAATCCAATATCAGTAAAATTTAAACAGTAAATCAATCCCATTATTATGCAATAAAAGGGATGATGATCAGTCACGTGGCAGAAACATTAGTCACGTAACTGTTACCACGTGTCTGTTCGATTTAAAAGATCTAAATCTATTATATGGAAATTTAGTTGACATCTCATATGTTTCTGTTTTTATAAATATTTAATATACTTTTCGATTCTTCATCAGTTTTAGTATAAAATGTATGTTAATGACAATGGTAGAGTCTTGTTGTTGAAAGAAAAAAGATTAATTAGTAGGATCAGATACCTAATTTTATTTAAATTCAATTTAAATAATTGTGTAACTTTATATCTATAGATTCTTATTCGACTGGTTATTGTTGAATAAAAATCTAAGCCATGAACCTTACGTAGATACTTAGGTATATAGGCAAAATTTGTAAACGATTCAATAAACTTTGTAATTTCAGTTCCACTTACGGGCTGTCAATTTAATTTAAGTCAATAAATATAATCTATTTGGAGTATTTTATTAAAAATTAATGAAATATTTAGGATGTTTATAAATATCATATAGCATAGCCTTCAATAAATTATATTTATTCTCCTATAAAAAAAAATTTAGTTTCTCATATAGATGACAGTGATTTTATATGTTGAAAGTATTTGTTTAATATTGTTGAAGGAAAGCAAACAAAAATAGATTTATTTTGTTTTAATAGTTATATTTTAAGCATTCATTTTTCGATTAAAAATTATTCTCGAAATCTTTACTCATTTTTATGCATAAAAAAGATATGATATTTTTATATCATAGTAAATTTGTCAACTGTCATAGTTAGTTTGTGATTGTTTTTAGTAATTAGTTTTATTATTTTTTTTTTTACATATTGCTTATTTGATTTGTAAAAACTATAATAATCAATTTGAAAGTTTTATTGCAAGTTCATTTTATATTTAACTTAAAGTATTATCAAAACTTTATTAATATCACAAGTTTGAAGAAATAATCAAGTTAGTATTTTTGTTTTTTGTCACTTCAAGACTCTTTTTTAATATTTATTCCCTTAAATTTATAATAATTTATACAATAAGAATACTTTATTTTAATATGATGATTGGACTCGAGTTATAATGGATATACCCATTATTGTAAAATAAACTTTAGCTTATACTAAAAAATTTTTTTAATTTAACTTTAGCTGATTTAAAAAATTCGTCTATTAGAAATTAATATATTAAGGTATTTAATGATTAAAGATTTGCATAAAAAATTATAATGAAGTATAAATAATATATAATTGAATGAATGCCGAAATTTCCAAATTAAAAATTTTTGAATACTTGTACTCACTGAATTCTCTCGTGAACGTCCGCCATTGGCATTCACACGAATATCCGATGGCCAATCCCCATTTTGTGAATACATAACTAGTAGTCAGTGCCATTTAGTATAAAGTTGAATACTATTTAGTCTGGAGTGAGTAAGTGGTAACCGTTTATTAACGAGTGTGAAAGTTTGGCAGATTGACGTGGAGGTACTTTATAATAGATCGTAATAATAACATAATAATTACAGGGGCATTATTAATAAAACATGTCACATCAAACAGGAATAAAAGGTAAAATTACTTGAGTTAAGTTTGATTAATTCTTTAAGTTACACAAATGGATGCGTATCTATCATTTTTAACCTCAAAATTTAGCCACTCCTCCAGTTTATTTATTTGATTTTAACATTTTCAGCAAACGATGCATTGAAAAAAATATTTGTCAGATGTCGTGATGGAAAAATACGAGTATTAAAAGTTTCTATAGAGAATGGTATATCTGTTTTCAATACAAAAATCTATTTTAAATGTTCATTTTTTCATTTAATACTGTATTTTTTTAGAGGAACTCGTTCCGGCAACATCTTCGAAACCTGTTGGTAAATGGCAAGACGATTACGATAAGATGGTGAAGCCATTGATAGCAGAGAATCAACCGGCATATATTTTATATAGAATGGATACAAAATCACCGGATTCTGGATACGACTGGCTTCTTATTTCATGGTCTCCAGACACTGCTCCAATTAGACAGAAGATGCTGTACGCTTCTACAAAAGCTACTTTGAAACAAGAATTTGGTACTGCATCTATAAAAGATGAACTTCATGGAACAGTAATAGAAGATATAATATTGGAAGGTTATAATAGACATAAAAAGAATGATGCTGCTCCAGCTCCATTAACTTCTGCTGAGGAAGAACTAGTTGAATTAAAGAAAACTACTATTCATACTGATTACAATATAGAAACAAGACATCAAACTTTAAATGGCGTAGCTTTTCCTGTAACAGATGAAGCTAAACAAGCAATAACAGGCCTAGGAAAAGGGATTCATGAATATGTTCAATTGAAGATTGACATAGAGAAAGAAAAGATTCATTTAGTAATAGCTTGTGATGTCTCTCTGGATAAGTTGCCTACAAAGGTACCTGCTGATGCTGCTAGATACCATTTATACAATTTTAAACACACTCATGAGGGTGATTATATAGAGTCAATAGGTAATTTTATTGATCAATTTTTCAGTTCCAAATCAACTCAAATCGTGCAACTCATTCAATTATTGTTTGCAGTATTTATTTACAGCATGCCTGGGTACAGCTGTAGCATAAAAGAAAGAATGTTATACTCGTCATGCAAAGCTCCACTACTTGATCTCATTCAATCATTAGGGATAACTATTGCCAAAAAGGTTAGTATTTACATATATATCTTAATAATTAGTATAATTAATATGAACAGTTGATCATACCAATATAATTATTATTTACAAGTATTTTCCATTTCAATATAGTAATGATTTAATTGTGAATTTTCTTTGCACGTTGCCTCATGTATGATTAATTGATAATTAATTAATAATCAAGCTGATTAATTGATATTGCCAGCATGAAATGTATATAAAAACTAAAAATACTTATCGTGTGATAATTATTACTAGAACAATGATTGAATGACATTTTATATGAATGCATATAACAATCACAGTTGGAGGTAAATAGTGGAGACGAGTTAGCAGACATGTTGGAGGATCCTCCTACGGTAAAAGAATTCATCAGCACAACCCCTGTGACCCCGATGTCGCCTTCCGCTCCCCCGCAAGTTTTTTCTGAGAAAAAATCAAAGCAAAAGCGTTCATGCGTCTTGAGTTAACAGGTTTAAGTGATAATATTGAAGGTGTTAACGTTGCAAGATTCATCTAATATTTGAATTTACTATTATGCTATAGATACGCACACATAACTGCACTAAAATAGCTCATTGATTTATTAATAATTTTTGAAATTTTTTTATGATGCTCTGAAAACAAACAAATTATTAAGAATAGAATGGATTATATAATGTCCAACGTGATATGTATACCTGCATAGCAAAAATAGGACGAACGGTGTATTTTTCTAAATTCTCTTACAAAAATTGTTGGTATACAATTTTCGCTTTCAATTAGCTTTGACATAAAGTGCAAAATGTCTGTGGTAATGAAAAATTTCCATAACGTAATTTTTTTATTCGAAATTATGTCAAATAATATATATTATCAGTTATTGTATTTTATTTAAAAACTCATGTTAGATTATTGACCTGATTTATATCTGGTCAGAAGTGAATTTTAAGTCATGCCTTCGAATTTAATATTAACTAATTAAAATATTCTAAAATTTTATTATTAGAACTAATTAATTATATTAACATTTAAATTTAGATTACTTCTAATTATGTGATAAGGAATATTCGAGATTCTTTTATTCAATTTTAATTCGTCAATTGTGATTTGTAAATTTTGTATTTTTAAAAAACAAAGTCTAGGAAAATCGAAATATAAGGAATATTTATTCCTAGTCTTATAAAAGTGATATATACAGATAAGTTATCAAATAACATTTTTATGTAAGTCTTAAAGGCTTGACTTTGAAATTCAATTCAGACACAATTTCAGAATTTAACGTTGTATTTGATTATGAAATTTTAAATCATATATTAGGTGGTTTATTTGTCGATATATGATAATGAGAAAATTAGATAAATTTCAGACTTAGGTATGAATGCTATTGACCTTTTTTCAATTATTTCTTTATCAATAACTAGATATTCATATGAATATATATATAAATAGATTATATAAACAACGATATAAGCCTGTTTTTATAATACTCTACACAATGTACGTATCTAACAAAAGTTTATTTTAATTGTTGATTCGATTTGTATCGTATGCCTCAATGATTGCCAAATTGATTAAAAATTTACGTGTAAATGTGTACGATGGGAAATTTGTAATTATTTCGTGTAATTAAATTTATTGATTCGATTGTGACAGAAGTAATGACTCATATTATATTAAGACTGATCAATGAGTACCATCGATTATACAGTTGATAAATAAGTATTTCTTCGAAAATAATTGTGAAAATCCTCCATGTTAAAGGTAATTTTAAGCCATTAAATTCATTTTTATGAATAAAAAAAGCAAATGTTCGTATAAAATATTCACTGAACAACACGTAGGTAGATGATTTGCAATGATGTAGTGACACGAAGTAAATTTAAAAAGGCATTCTATTTTTTGTGATCTGTATTTTTTTAAATAATATATTTTATATAATAATCGATTATTCTGTCAACGTTGCAATTAACACTATTAACCATCTTTGGCCTAAAGAAAGCTAAAATAAAAAAACTAACAAATCTATCTATTTCAAATAATCAGACTTTTTATTTTTTAAAAGTATTTTTTCTTTCTACATTTATATTCAATTTATGCTGGCTTCGAAGGGAAAAAAATATTTATAAGATGCTTTTAAATTGAAATGTGATTAATGCTCAAAATACATCAATTATTGTTTTCCGATTAAATTATATTTTTTATCATATATATATCTTGATGCATGCAATTTTCTTTCACTTGTATCATTCTCGGCCTATTCTGTAAGTTTTTATTAAATTTGATTATCCGTATTTTTTTGTACAATTTTATTTTCAATTTATCATGATTAATAAATTGTAAACCTTGCCAATATTAATGAATAAAATATATGATTTAATATCAAGTTGTTTATTCAATTGATTTTAGATAAAGTTTTTAATGAAATTATTGAGATAATAATATAGATTTCACCCATAAAGCTTTAGCACACAAACAGCAAAGGTAACTATTCGAATGGTATGTAAAAAACTATTAGTTCACTGAAACTTACAGAATAGGCCTGAAAAAATATTAGTTATAATTGTCAAATAATCTAATAAGATAAAAAATATAGTAGAATAATTTTTGTGGACTTTTTTCAATGTGTAGCTAGAAATAGATGATGGCAAGGATCTTACGGAAGGATTTTTACAAGAGGAACTGCATCCAAAAGTTAATTTGCATCGGCCGAAATTTGCCAAACCGAAAGGTCCTCCAGGACGAGGTGCTAAACGTATAACTAAAGTCCAGGATTTAGACAGACAAGAAGATTAGTTTTGCATAGTGTTTTTATTAATTTGAGGTTTATTAAGGTAGTAGGGACTGCAAACAGCTACAAGATTTTATCTTTTTATTGCATTTTTATTTTTGGATTTTAATTATTTATTATTTATTCCTAATTTTCTTAATATCTTCAAGTTTGATAGTATTTTTAGAATAATCACATTTTTATCAGGCCTATTCTGACAATTAAAATGAGAAAATTATATATTATAATGTAAATAATGGAAAGTATCAAAAAAGATATAAACTATTTGTCTTATTCAGTAAGAAGATGATGAGTATTTTATAATTATAGATTTTTATTTATCATTTCTTATGCAATTATAATTTTTCAATTATTTATGATGAAGGCCTACTTTGAGTGCATTAGTAACTTCAGTGAACAAGAAAACGTACCACATCCGTACTATTATTTTCTGCAGCCAAAGTTTTGTTGTAAATAATTATTATTTTATTAAGAAATTTGACGTTACTAACAACCATGAAATAACGATTTAATCATTTTTATTTTATCTAAATTAATGAATAAATAATAATAAAAAAAATTTATATAAAATTTATTTAGCTGGCTCTTCAAAAAGAGTATCTAATGATTTTTTTTCTGATTCTTCATGGTCTTCTCCGAATTCTTTGGCTGTATCCTTACGTGAACTTTGAAATGCTATACTGTAATTTCGATATTTTTTATTATTAGAAAAATATATTCACATATATAATAAATCATATTTACAGTACCTTTTACGAAGAAGATAAAATTCTTTTTGGAGTTCAGATAATTCTCTAAGATTCGAACCTGATAACCAAAAGATAAAATTAAATATCACTCCAGCTGCTGATCCTAAAGATGTTCCAACTATGCATCCAGCTATCATTCCTCTTATTCCCATATTTATTTTGTAAAGTGTTCCAGTAAGACTGCCCGCAAGAATATATTCTGTAACTCCATGCCCGCCTAAATAAGCAGTTAACAATGTTACTGTTGTCCTATAAAATTGATTTTGATTAAATGAATAAATAGCCTCAAATATAACGCATAAAAATTTATAATATTTACAAAAAATACTTACATAAATACAGTTGAAAATGAGCCAACTTTGATAGCCCATTTTAAACCATGTCTTCCCATACCCAAAAAAACATTATCTTGTAATTTACGTTTAGCTTCGATGTGACTTGGAAACTTAGTTGCATCATTATTTTGAATAAAATCATGAAAAGCTTTTTGTGAACCTAACGCTGAACCATATAAACCACCACATAAAGTGCAAAAAAGACTTGCGTTCGATAAATTGAGTAATGCAGAATTGATTTCTCCATTTTTACTGAAATTATTTTATGCGTGTCAAATTAATTAAACAATAATGAAATTTATTAAATTTAAATAAAAAATTTTCCTACTCTTTTTTAAATAATGCTTTAATTCCTTCCCAACCTATAGGCTGTTTTTCGTCTTTATATTTTGGTGTAAGAATTTCGTCATAACTTGGCTTGATACCACTCAAAAAAGCTAAGTGGTAAGGATGTAACTTTCGAAAATATCGTGACATTTTTAATAAATCAAACGCATAAATAGATATTCACAATTTCATGTTAATGAACAAATCATTTATTGTACTGAGAAATGTGTGTAGAAAATTTTTTAATCAATGCCGGCAACATTACTGGCTCGGTCACTATGATAATATGTTTATGCACATGTATTATTTCCTAGGAACATTAATTTTTGACTATTCTTTATATATACCAAACCTGACGAAAATTCATCTAATTCTAAATACAGCATTTTTTTTCGAAACAAGTATGTACATATGTAGCTATTTAAGTAAATAATTTAATTTACTCTTTATTTGTTACATCTTGAAATAATTAAAGCTGTCAAAGATTTTTCACAGATTATTTCAACAAAAATGATATGTTTTTTGAATACTTTTAGTTCATTTTAAAAGTATTTTGATATCACCGGCTTGGTTATGTAGAATGTAGGCCATTTGTAAAATAATGACATTCGAATGATGACATTAGTTATATGTATTTTAAATTTATAAATTTAAACGTTAACGTAAGTTTGCAAAAATGGTATTTTTCACACGTATTTTAGCTTACGCAAAGGTAAACTCTCTATGATATGTTTTAACTATCCTATCTCATACATATAATATGAATATTTATATTAATAATGCTTTGTTTTTTATTCGAAAATAGCCACCGAGGAAATATCTTCAAAAAGGTTTTATCGATAATGTAAGATTCCATGTACGAGGAGGTGCAGGAGGTTCTGGTCTTGCTCGATATGGTGGAATAGGTGGACGTGGTGGAGATGTTGTTATTGTTGCTACTGAAAAAATGACGTTGCGTGATGTGATGAATAAATATCAAAAAAAATCTATTTATGCTAATCCTGGATACGATAGTGAAAGACGAGGTATTCTCGGCAAACCTGGAGAAAATATTGAAATCAAAGTTCCTGTTGGCGTAACAGCTTATGATTCAAATGGCGCTATCATTGGTAATTATTTAAAATTATTTCTTAATATTAACAATAACTTTATTATTGATATTAATATATTTATGTAATTATTTGTAGGAGAAGTAGATAAACCAGGTTCAACGTTAATCGTTGCTAAAGGTGGAATTGGTGGATGTCCGGAAACTGGTTTCAGTGGTCAAAGGGGACAAAGAGATACAATTACTTTAGATTTAAAACTAATTGCAGACGTTGCTTTAGTAGGATTTCCTAATGCTGGAAAAAGTACTCTCTTAAATCTTATTTCTAATGCTAGACCAAAAATTGCTGCATATCCTTGTAAGTATTTTATTTCTTAATAACGGTTAATTAAATTCCCCATTCTATAAAGATATTAAACATATTGAAATTTAATTATTTTTAGTTACTACTATGAGACCACATCTAGGAATTATAAATTATCCAGATTTAAGAACAATCTCTGTAGCTGATTTACCAGGACTCATTGAAGGAGCTCATAATAATATTGGATTGGGTCATAAATTTTTAAAACACTTAGACAGAACAAAATTATTAATTTTTATTGTTGATATTCAAGGTTTCCGTTTATCTACTAAATATCACGCTAGAAGTTGCTTAGAAACATTAATTTTACTTAATAAGGAAATGGAACTTTATCAGCCAGACTTAATTGACATGACTGCAATTCTCATTGTAAATAAAATGGATAGTCCTAATGCTGAAAAAACATTTAAAGCAATTGAGCCAGCTTTGAAAAATTTAGCATGTGTCGTTGATGATTATCCAAAAGAAATGAGACCTGAAAACGTTGTAAAATTTGAAGAAATTTTTTCAACCTCATTAATTTTAAAAAAAGAAGATGAAATAAATTTAATTAAGGAAAAAATTAGATACTATTTAGATAAACAAGCAGAGAAAGAACTTGAAAACAGAGAAGATCCGATCGAAGTTAAAGTTTTTAATAAATTGAAACAAGAGTTGAGAATACATTCACCAACGGTTGTTTGAAAATGTTCAATATATGTATATATTAAATTTTGAATATAAATTTTATATTGGACATGCCTATTTTTGATTTAGCTTTTTTTTTTTTTTTTATAAAATTGCTTTACAGCTTACTTTAATTAATTAAATAACCAGCTCTTGTCTATTTATGTGCCTATTTCTCTCTTTAGAATAGATGTTATGGTTTTATTTAAATAATCCTGTTATAAACAATGAAGTTATTGAGTTTATTTAACATCCGTAAGGATATAAATTCAAAATATTTCTCATTAATTTTAATAAAGACTTTTAATATATTTTTACAAAAAGATTTTTTCACATGAAAATTCATTAATTGTAATTAGAATATTTTTAACCGAATATTTCTTTTGCTCGCATCATACTGCATTTTATATCTTCAATTTTAATCTTTCCTGTCCAATCTTCTCCTAAAGGTGCTTTGCCTTGCATTTGAACTTGTTCTATTTCTATTGAATCTCGGAGAATTCCAACATTTGCATGCCATCTTTCCACACCATTCCAAGCTATCATTACTCCATTATCGGTACATAATCTTGGAGGAGGTTTTACTAAACGATAAGACATTTCATAACAGATCATTTCTAATATTTTTCCTATAAATTGATTGGAAGCTACTCCTCCCGATACTACCTAAGATAAAACAATCACAAGTTAAATTTGTTCATGTATAATTCATTAAAATAAATTTTAATTCATTGATAAAACATACTAGAGTATATTTTCCATGCGGAATTAAATTTTTAATATCACAGAATATCATTGCTCGTTTCAATCTGATAGCAATATGTCGAGCTATACCCCACTGAAACGCTGCACAGAAATTTTCATAATTTGGAATTATTTCATTTTTAGCAGTATTGAATTTTTGTTCTTGTTGCTCGATCGTCAATTTAGCAAAAGTTTTTAATCCTGCAAAACTAAAATTACAACATCTTGAATGTGGTAGAACTACTGGAAATGTAAATTGTTTGGGATTTGTTGCTTTAGTAGCAGCCAATTCTATAGCTTGCCCACTAGATATATTTTGATATTCTGGAATGTTATGTATTTTTAGTCTACGTGCTACCTAAAAAAAAGTATTTCATATTTTATGTATTTTTAACATTTCTTTTTTGTTTTAAAATTATTTACTTTATCAAATGCTTCACCAGGAGCATCATCCAGTGATACTCCAATCCTATAAAACTTTGATTCATTTTCGACAAGTGCTAGTAAACAATTTCCTCCTGATATTAAAAGAGTCAAAAATGGGAAATCAATCTGTAAAAAATATAATATAGTCTTTCTTCAATTTAAGTATCTTATTTCAAGAATTTCACATTTATATTATTTATTGACTGTAAATATATCAATAATTTAATATTCTATTAACTTTTTCAGTCATTCTTGCAGTCAAAGCATGTGCCTCCATATGATGAATCGGAATAAATGGTTTATTTGCCATTTTCGAAAGTTTTTTTCCAAAATTTACACCAATCAAAAGCGATAATGGTAAACCAGGTTTGACAGTAGTAGCGATAGCATCAACATCATTTAGTGTAATCTGGGCTGATAGTAATGCATTTTCATATACATTTTGAATATTATCTTTATGTAAATCTCTTGCTATATTTGGGACAATTCCACCATGCCTAGAAAATGAAATATAAAGTGAAAGAAAATTAATATCAATACTATTAGCTTTGAAATTATAAAATGTTTACTTAATATGAATATTTTGTTGACAATTTAAAGCTTCACCTAAAATTTTCCCTTCTCCATCAACAATTGCAATGCCAGTATCATCACAACTAGTTTCAATACCTAAAATTCGTACTGGCCGATCTTCATAACTTTTCACACTGAAGCAGTTTATAAAGTTAAATTTCATTAAATGACACTGTTTGTTGCTTAAACAACTAGTTAATGTTTTTATGCGATAAGTAAACATTGACATTATTTGAAAAATTCAATAAATTTATTATAACACTTCGTATTTATGTTGAGTTCTTTACCGTATAGTCTTTATGAACACAGAGACATAACCTGTGAATGATATATACATATGTATATCTATATATACATAAATGGTAATAATTTGCTGTTTTAAATAAACAATAATATTTATTCTAATTATATATCCGTATATTTTAATGATATATCATAATGTAAAAAACACAAAAAACAATAAACTATCTGAATATTGAATATTAATAAATCCATATTGACAATATTTATTTTCATATATATTTCATATTTATATTATATTTTCAAACCTGAAAACTCATCAATTATAATTAATTGCATATTTTTTATTATTATGTACAAAAAGTAATGGGTATAAAAATGTGTCAAGTCACAGACTTAATGAAAAAAATAGTTTTTTCAATTTTTTAAAAAGTAACAATTTGATTATAAATACACGGATAGAAATAAAAAATATAATTGTTTACAAAGCAAAAACTTATTAATATAGAACAATATTTGAATTTTAATAATTTATTAAACCGTCACGCAGCAGAATAACTAAAAACACTAGACCATTTCATTTTCAAAAATGAATAGTCCATTAATCACCTTTCAACTGGTATTCGTTGAGTGTTGGAAATTGATGAAGAAATAATCGTTGAACTGGAATTGATTGTAGCATTTGCAGCTTGCAAACGTCTCTTTCTTGCTTCTAATTTTTGCATTGCTTCTATTCTATTTCTCTCAATTTCTTCTGGCGTACGAGTAATCTGCATCGACTGCATACTTGATGTTATACTGTTAGATTGATGCTGTGATTCTTCATTACCGTATTTATTTTCACCATTTCCTTTTTCTGCTCGATATCTGTTAACATTGTACATATTTACATTATCCTTTTGATTATTAAATGATTCTGGCACATTTGAATCCAAACTAGAAGAGGTCCATGCTCGTTGAATTGTTTGATCAGCATTACTTACGGCTTTTCCACCATATACTCTGCTACCTTTCGAACCTGTATTAGAATTTGATCCACTTTTCAAACTAGAACTTGAATTAGTTCGTGACGAGTCATGAGATTCACTGAGACCTTGCTTTACATTTTTACCTGTTGGGTTATCACTACAATCAAAATTAGAATCGGAATGACTTTTAGATTTAAAAAATTTCCAAGTACGTGTCGGTGTTACTGTTGACTCAAATTTTGTTATTTTTTGAGATCTTATTTGGGGTCCCGAAGTTTTTGTTGCTAAATACTTATTACCCAATCCGATTTGAACTTTTGTAGGATTTTTTATTAAACTATTAATACTAGTAGTATTATTTTTAGACAAATTACTATGAGGTTTCAAAATTGAAGTTGATGGCACTTTTGGTAAAAATTCATTTGATAATTTCATGGTTGTCGAAATAATTGGATTGATGTTACTACTTGTTTGTATCCCAACACGCTTGACAGTTGATGAGTACAAATTATTTTTAGATATATTTTTTGTTTCAGTACTGTCACAACTAACTAAAAAGTCATCAAATGAATCATCTGGAATAAATAAATCTATATCATCAGTCTTTACAAGGGTTTGTTTCTCAGGAGTTCTAGATATCCGTGAACTTGACCGATTTTTATTTAAAAGTTTCTGTGGTTGACTTACAATCCTCGTATTAACATTATCATTATTATTATTATTTTCATTTAATGTTCCGATATTTACACTATTTGAAGATCCATTACTCTTTAACTTTAAAAGATAATTTGAATTTGGACTGGGATCGTTATTTATTAAACTTTCACTATTACCGTTATTTATGTTACCAGTTGGAGAAATATTCAATTTTTTTTCTGTTTCCTGGCTAAATTTTATTATCACTTCATCCATAGAATCGTTAAACAAATCGTCAACACTCTTATTATCTTCTTGATTATCAATCTTCAGTGATAAATCTTTATCATCAATAATATTATTAGTATCAGCTTCATCATCAATATCGTTGAATCTAATTTTCATAGAAGCATCAATAATTGTACCAATTTTGTCATTGCTTTTTATAGTTTCTGAATAATTTTTATTATTGTTAATTTGCTTTGTTAAAGCTATCATTTCAGCTTTAAACTGTTCAATTCCCTCAGTATTTTCTCGTTTGATTAACTGTTTCCTTATCGGTTTATAGAAAAGTGGAGAGCTTGGAGGACGTTTTCTACGTATTATTGCAGTTCTTTTAGGTGTCGTAATATCACTGGATTTTTTACTATTATCATTGTCATTTTTTTGTGCCGCGCTATTCCAATCCCATGTAACTTCAATATTTTCATCTTGTGTTAAAGGGAAACTCGACCGATAATCAGGAGAATCTGAACCATCTTGAGATTTATTGCTATAATTGGAATCATGTCTTTTGGGTGTACTTTGAGTATATAAATTCGGTGTTTCTTCAGGTTTCACTTCTTCAAGTCGTATTTTATTGTTACAAATTGAGGACTCTAAAAAAAAATAAAAAAACAGAAAGTTAATTAATTTCCTATACACTGATAAAAAAAAATAATATTTAAATTATATGAGACAAATTTATCAGTATAAATGTTGGGAAAAACTTACCTTCGATTTTTATTAGTGACGTACTATTTGATTTTTTATTTCTTATATTATGTTTTCTTTGTTTTATCATCATTATTTACATTGATTTCCATATAAAAAAAAAAATTACTTCAGAGATAGAAGAATTAACAAATTTTTAATGAAAGAGTCATATTTTTTGTGATCTTAATGTTTATAGGCTATAGACCTACTAGCGTATAGAAAGACGCAAATACTTTTTTAAAAACATCAGTTTCAGTTACATAACCTTACTGTTGGAACGTCATGTAAATAAAATTGCCAAAAACACTTAAATTTTTGAACATCAATATAAAAATTATATATTTTTTTTTTTATATTTCTAAACTATTAATAAGGTAAAATCATAAAAAATTTTACTGCTTAATATTCTAATACATTTTAAAATTAATAATTCATGAATTTATCATTTTATATAAAAACGAAAATGGAATTTTAAATACTAAATTCGGAATTTTTTTTCGATAATATTAATAAATCCAATATTCATAAATTAATAGAAAATATGATGATACTTTTTCTCCTCAGCCTTAATGAAATTTAAAAATTTTACAGAAATCATCAAAATGGCAACATCATCAATGAATATATCTTGGGAGCCTTTAAGGTTGACTCATACAAAGCCTTCATTTAACAACCATGAATTAGCTTTAGCAGCTAGACAAGATCTCTGGCATAAATTTATTATCTTCGACGTTGGAGACTATAGTATGGAAACTGTATTAGATGCTACATTAGCTTCATGTCAACCAGAAGTATTAATGCCTATGATGTATCATGTTGATCGTTTAAATAAAGCAAGTTTTCTTGCTAAATGTACTATAGCTGCTATAGACACACTTGTAAAGCAAGGACTGGAAATTAAGTTACCTGATGATCATGTACTTAAAATGGATATTGTTTTAGGATTTATTAATATGCAATCATTGCCAATAAATCAACATCGTGTGATTTCACAAGTATTAATATCAAGATGGGATTCTATGAAGAAGTCTTTAAATCTTGAGAATTTTCATCACGAGCCCAAACTTAAATCAATTTATTGTCCACTTTCATCTCCAGGAGTATTTGTCTTTGTTTTAAAATGCTGCAAACCACGAATGGGTAATCTTCGAGATAATAAATTACCTATAAGAGAATTGATCTTAAAAAATAATGGATTAGTCGGTGTAATTCTTTATGAAAAATTATTAGGATTTAGTCTTACTAAATTAGACTTAAGTTTCAACAAAATTGAAAACATTGATTATTTACGATACTTTTCGGAGTTTAAAATAACCGAATTATGTTTAGATGGAAACCCTCTGTGTGCAGATTACTCTAAACCAGAAGACTATATTAGAGCTGTAAAAAATGTTTTTCCTCATTTACAAAAATTGGACGGAGTTGTAATTGACGTTGCACAAAAATGCACTCCAATGATACAACAATATTTTCTGGATGATGGTTCACGATTGAGTCTCATTAAACAGTTTATTAAACATTATTTTACTTTATATGATCAAAACGATCGAGAAGTTTTAGATGGTCTTTATGAATCAGATTCTTTTTTCTCATTTACTTTCGGAGATATAGCCAATCCTCGTCATCGACAATTGACAAAAGTTTTAAATCTGAATAGAAATCTTATAAAAGTAGTTGATTATTCTAGATGTTATAAATATTTATTTCAAGGATCTTATGAAATTATAGAATGTTTGAGGACTTTACCTCCAACTTTTCATGATTATAAGTCTTTTAGTATTGACATAATCCATCAAGGACATCGTTACGTAGCTTTTTCTGTGCAAGGATCATTCTTTTATCGTGAATTTCCTGTATCTCTACTTTTCAATAGAACTTTTATTGTAGTTGAAGTAGAAGATAATGAATATAGAATAATCAATGATCAATATCATATACAAAGTGGTAATTCAACAATGATTGAAAATGACTGTTTAGCTAAATTAAATGTAGTACCTACTTTTACTCCAGTTTATCTCGGAAATCAAGAAAAAATACAAATGATAGGAGCTCTATCAAATATAACTACAATGAATAAAACTTTTTGTCGAGAATACCTTGAAAATATTGGATGGGATTTACGTGCTGCGTTTAAAAAATTTATAAAAGCCTATACAGTAAATAATATCCCACCACATGCTTTCAAATCTATATGCTAATATTTTCACATGGTGTCTAATAAAAATTTTGATATCAATATCTTGTGAGTATATCTAATTCTATGTGAGTATGTCTATATAAATGTAGGTTTTGAATAAAAAATATTACCAGCAAAGACTAGTATCAAAAATTGTACTTATTCACTTATTTGTTATTTCCTAATTCATTTGAATAATTCAGTTATAAATTCAATTAATTAATTTAACAACCTTGTTGTGTATTTAATAATATAATACTCTTATTAATATATGGAATTGTATTCACATTTGAATTGACTCCTAGTTCAAAAACCTTTTGCAATAACGGTAGTGCGTGTTCTGAAACAAAAAAATATTTTCGATTAAAATATGAAATATTTCAATCAATTTACTAATAAATTATTAAATGTTTAATTTCTCATATCAAACATGAGTATTAAATTTTACCTTGCATACACAGAACGATTTCTGGTAATTTATCTAATGCTGACATTAAAACATCAGATCTTGGACTATCTAAGCATCTTTGAAATGCTGATAGAATATTGGAATTCGTCGTTGGTCGATTTTTTAATAATCGTGTTAATAAATTATGAGCAAGTGTTCTAATATTTCCTTGGGGGGATACTAATAATTCTGCTATGTTGTCTATGGCAAACTCCAAAATTGAAGGTTTCTTTATTGATAAATGGTCGATATCCTGGAGTGCTGAGAATACATCTGAAAATCAAATAAAAAATAAACGTAAACAAATCATTATACAAATACATTTCGAATTAATTGACAACATTTTTACCTTCGCCTTGAATTTTATTTAATGTTGTCATTAAGGATGGCCAATGTGCAGGTAAATTTGGTTCAGGCTGAACAAAAGGTGATGGACCAGATACAAATATTTCCTCACCATTAGTACCTCTTAATGCTGGTACTATGGATGTGAGTGATAATAAACTTGCTGATCCAGGATAATATGTTTGTAAATCTCGAAGAATTTGAATATGATTATGAAGATACTTCAAGGCTCGTTGAGCATCATGAGATGCATACGCTTGGAGTAAAGCTACAAATCTATTTAATAATGATGCTAAAATATTACGATCCTTGACAGGTGCATAATTTTGAAAGCATTGAAAGTAATTTTCTAAAGTATCTTCTAATGCCGTTTGATATTCTTCATTAAATAAATAAGGCTGTAAAAGTTCCAATAAACTTATAATTTGTGTAAAAAAGTTCAAATGATTCCCTGTACGAAATTCGCTCAAGTTCATATGACATCTTCCAGTTAATGATGATGCAATCATTGGTAGCTGTCGAAGAACCAAAAGAGGATGAACTGCAGCCATTTTTCTAGCACAAAGTTCAAAATCTTGAGATTTAGAGATCCAAGATTTATGTCTTGATGTTGCAGCTAATGCTGTTAATAAAGAATGACTCATGCTATCAAGAACTGATCCAGTCCATTCAGTAATTTTTGCACCAGCAACAAATTTCTTCGCTTGAAACTGATTTAATAGACATATCACTTTCGGAATTTTCATATAAAGATGTAGAAGAAATTGATGTGCCATATCTGCTTCAATACCTTCATCATTACTTGTCATTTTTTCTGCTAAATATTCTACAACACGAGCGGTGATTCTTTCTTCAGTTAATAAACAATGTTGTACCAAGTCTAATCGGGATTCCATTTGTGCTAATGCAGCATTCCTACCACGTCTATCAAAAACTATTATTGCTTCAGCGACAATGTAAGTTATTAAAGTCAATGACTGTTGTTCAGTTAATAATAAAATATTTTCTGGAACATAGTGTTTAGGAGTAAATTTGTCTCGACCTTGCCATAATCTTGGGTTACACGTAAGAGCCCAAAAGAAATCTAAAACTGCCGTAGGATCATAACCATCATCACATTTGATAAGTAAATGACCAACACATTTATATAAAGTCATCCAACTTGCTCTATGAGTTAATAATGTTAAGAGATAAGGTCTGCAAGCATGTGAATTTACAACACTTTCATCTATCTTGACATGAAGTTTTGTTTTACCAAAAAGTAACTTCATTTGAAGGCTGGGACATATACCAATTAGCTCCGGTTCTATTGAAGCTAACCAATCAATGAGTAAACCTGTAGCTCGATTAGCCAATCCTTCATCACTGTCTGAGACCAATAATTTAGCTATTACCTCAACTGAAACATCATTTTTTTGTCTTTTTATTAGAATATCCAATAATTTTCTACCTACACCTTCTAAATTAACTGAATCTGTTGTTTTTAATATTATATAAGGATCTCGATTTTGAGTAAGTATCATTAATTCATTCTTTTTCACTACTTTGTTCTTTTGGATAGCTACAAAGTCTTTCAGAAGAGGCAAAATAGGAGCTTTTATATCACCAATTAATGATATAAGATTTATACACATATTCTTCGCTAAATCAATTATGTGCTTCGATGTATTTATTTTTTTCAAAGGTAAAAGAATAATCCGCATTATCGTACAAGAATATTGAGGCATGTGAACAAGTGATGCGAGAAATTGCTCTACTTGCATTGAACTTAATACACTGCAAATATGTTGAATAGCTAATACGACAGCACCACTTTCTTTAGCCGACTTTTGTAAATCTCGAGCTAGAGTTTTGTGTAATCGACGATATGCTTCAGTTTTTTGACCAAGGGGAATATTTTCTATAAATAATTTATTTATCAAATGGGGAACATCAGTTTTTACTGGATATTGAATCACTGATTGTTTTTTTATCATAGTACTTTGTGGAAGAGGTTGTTGTAACTTTTCCATCTCTAGTGGAGGACTATCTGGTAACTGAGGTTCAAGCAGTTGAAGAACTTCAACGAATACAAGTCCTCCAGTTGCTCCTCTTCGATGTTGAACCTTTACTAATTGAGCCATATATGTTTTATCGAGTACAGCTTCTCCTACAGATGCTGGATCAATTTGTACAGCAACATCTAAAGTATGTAATAATTTACTCATTGATGATACTGGAATTCCAAAACTCTGAATAAAAAGAACTAGTTGTTGAGGTTCTAAATCTTTTAAAGCAGCATCTACTAGTCTTGGTACATTACTTCGAATCATTCTAAGTTTTAACCAATCAGGAATAAGTAATGCTTCTTCACTAGTATCAACTAAAAATGCCTTAGGAGGTTCTCCATTTTGCGGAAACCAAGATTCCAATAAATCATTCGATAAACCATGTTCATCATTCACATCATAGGTTAAGAGAATTATCATTGCATGAACTACTAGAATATGCATCGTACATTCTTCGCCATTACTCCACTGTACTAAAATTTGATCTTGGCTTTCAGACCAAGTATATCCTTCTCCTCTAGGTAATCTGGCTTTTTTTAAATAATTACAAAATATTGATTTAAATGCTTGAAGTGTGTGTTTCGCTTGTGGAGAATCATTATCGGGTTCTGGTAAAATAGCAGCAGTTATTGTACCGCGTTCAACAACTAATTGAGATATTTCATTAGCTAAATCTGTAAGCTCTGGTAAATTATCGTCAATAGTATGTTCTGCTAAAAAAAAAATATATGCACGAACTAATTCTGGATTATTTTCAACTTGACAAGCTCCTCGTAAAGCAGTAGATACTAGAAGTCTTACTGCTTGAAAATGAGGAATTGATGGAAGTTTTCTTAATAGCCAAGTCTCCTTTTCATTTTCTTTATCAATTTCCATACTTTCATCTTCTAAAGGAATAGAATCTAGTATTAATTTTAATCCAATGATTGCCTGAATTCGATTGTTACTCTGTTGACTGCTTAATCGTCGTAAAAAATATTCCAATACCTCACAAGTTTGTTGTTGATCTTCATTAGAATCTGTTAAGAGTTTCTGAAGATGTAAAAGTAATTGTTGTTGCCTCGGTTGCTTTTCAACAGCTTGAGCCGTCGTTGAAAGAAGAAACTCACAAAGACATTGAACTGGTAATTGACTAAGAGAACCTTCACTACTTTGAACGAGATCGGCAAGCCATGGCATGCTCTGAGATGAACTTTGTTGTTGTCTTTGAATGATATCCAATAAAAAATCTGGTTTTCTTGATCTGCAAAGTAAATGCCCAAGTCTATGGGCTACATTGAGTGATTGAATTTGTTCTAAAATTGCTAGAGGGGGTTTTCGAGCTATTCCTGTAGGATCTAAATTAATCAATTGGGATAACAATAAGCTATTTGACTCAGAGATTTGTACTTTGGAAGATGCTGCAGCCAAATGACTTTCATATTCTAAAATGACTTGTTTTTCTATCATTTCTGTTTGTAATTCTTTGGCTCGTTCTTGTTCAATAATTTCTGGAAGAACCATCGTTGGTGGTGGATATAAAAAATGATTTGTAATACACATTTCCATTAATGTTCTTAATATTGGATATGTTTTCCATCCAACGGCACCTATTGTTGTAGGGTTATGAGCTGCTAAAATTAATAAAATAACCCAACCTTTCCAATAAATGTTAGAAATTGCTAGTTTTGGTGCTGTATAGCCTGATGGAATATTAATAGACTCTGGTGGTTGGTAAACACACAATTTAAAAATTTTTTCTATAATTTGCAAATCTTGTGCTTGTAACATTGGAACGCTTTCTGAAGAGTTAATTGATGCTCTTCTCACCAATTGATCTATAATATCCATAGTCTCCAGTTGTGAAAGTCCATTCTCTTTACAAGATCCCATTTTTAATATGGTTAAAATAGTATTTTCCTTCAAAGGGACTTCAGTAACAATTCGCATAAATAAAGATCGATCAGTTTCTGGAGGCCAATTGTCTAGCTTATAGTAATGTTCTAGAGGATCTAACAACATAACTTTACGTAATCCTCTTAAAAATTCTTCTTTCCCTATTCCATACGTTTGTTGTGCTGATGTTAATAGCCATTGTGCTACATCGTGTTGAATTGTTGATATCAATTTGTGAAATTGATCTAGTTGTGATAAATCTTTTCTATCACCTCTTTGAGCAAGTAGCACTGTTTCTTTGACTTGAGGAGTAATGGCCAAAAACATACATAAACATAATAAATCAATTATTGAGGTAAACATTCTATCTTTGAATTCAAATGTTAAAAATTGTTGAGTCATTTGAGGTCGTTCTGTTGTCAATGCTTTCGCTAAAGTCTTTAAATTAATATCGTGACGACAGACTCGAATGATTTCTCTAAAAAGTGTTCGAAGTGGACGAAGATAGTCTTCTCGGTTGATCAATAAATCTTGGAATATTTCTGCTAATAATCGAGCAGATGCGTCTGGCGATGCTTGGAACATTACTGCTATGATTGGCATATTGTTTGAATTTCTTGCATTCGATAATTCATTATAAATAGTATGCTTTAACATTGTAGCTAAATTATCTGGATGAACACTAATTAATTCTTTAACTCCATTTAAATACAAATTAACAACAGCTTTTGTCTTCAGTCTCATTTTTACTAAATGACTGATAACTTCTACATCTCGCTGGGTATGAGTTGTGCAATTATAGCAAACGTAAATCAGAAGTTCTTGAGCAGGTTTCATTAATTTAGGATTATGAAGCCACATTTCCATACGTGGAACAACAAGATTACGTACTTCAACAAGACCACAAGTTGATGAGAAAAATTTTAAAGAATTTTTTGTAATAGCATCTGGTTGTCGTCGGTTTAATACTTCTTTGACTGCTTCTGAAATAATAAATTCAACAACTTCAGGATTCTGCGAGTATCTAGGGCTAACGATGAATTCAGATTTTTCTTTGTCACCAAAAAATTGAATTGTTGAAGCTGTGGCGTCTTCATCTTCCATTGTAGAAGGGCTATGACAATCACGAGGAGCTAATAAAGAAAGTTCATGTTGTAAAGCATTTTTAGGCGGATGTCTGGTGTTACAAGCTGTCAAAATATTGTCGGTAAATCCTTTACATTCCTCATGATCTACCCATACACGTTCTCCCAATGCATCTTCAATATAAAGTTTTACAAATATATCTGGCCAACTATTTTTATCATAAAATCCTCGCATTAATAAATTAGCTGCAAGAACAGGAACTAAAGGATTACCTTTACTTTTAAAATTATGAGCTTGATCTCTTTTTAATAAAGATGATAATGCATGTAAAATACAATCATTGGAAAATATTGATGGTCTTATTTTTGCAAGATACATTAAGCCCATATAAAGTAAAGAATCTGGTTTCCATCGTTGATTTTTTAATGTTTTTATTGCTCCACAAATTAGACCAATTACTTTATCACCTTCATCGTTATCACTGGCTTCTAAAACCATTGGAACCAAATCAGCTGATTCACAATCAATAGCTACAATTTCCCACGCTTCAGCACTAGACATCGGAGGTCTTGGAACAACATGAGCAGCAAGTTTAGGTTTCTTTTGAGGAAACAGTGATCGAAGTGATGGCACTGGAGCTTCTGTTTTTCTTTCTGAACTAGAACTTGATGATGAGGTGCTTGGTTTATTGTGAATTATACCAGATCTTTTAGAATCTAACGATGATTCCACACGGCTACTTTTAGATCCAAGGGCAAATAAGTCCGGAGGATGCTGAGCTATTTTGCTCTTTGATCGACTTATAATTGCAGGTTTATTTCGTTCCATTGTTATTTTTCTTTATTTTCTATTTTAAGTATTCAATTTATATTAAAAGTTCAACTCAATCTAATAAACATTATTTATAGAATTCACAATTTCATATTTATCACCTTTTGTATCGTCTATTTTCATAGGTTATGAACATTCAAAAACACTGAAGAAAAAATGAGATTACGATTCACATTACACCACATTGAATCAACATAAATTTATAACTATCTTAATACCACAATTCCAGTCAACGGCCAGTTTTTCACTGACGAAATAATCTTATCACCGCCGTTTATAAAACTCATAACCTCATAATTATTTTTATTACATTCGGAACTGGAGTAATGCATTTCAATGAAAAGGTATACCAAAGTGAATGAAAAAGAATGCTGTTCATTGGATGATTCAAAAATCCAGTTAGTCTAAAACGACGTCCAAATGAACTGTTTGTATATGTATAGTATGTATATATTATGTATAATTATTCTTCTCTCACTTTTTGGCGGGTTAAATTTATTTACAATTGTTGTCTACTACAACGTCACACATGTCTATATTGCATTCTTTTGTACTTGAGGATAATTA